ACACAAAACTCTCAAAAAGATGTAGGATTGTGGTGGGTGGCTTAAAGTCAAGCACCTGGAACTTGAAGATTACACGTCTCCCCTCCTCTCCCACTGAGGCATTTTAGTGGAAGGTTTTCAGAAACATGAAATTCTAATTAAACCCTGAAAAGTTCTAGAAAGTCTCTTCTCCCTCAGCTAGTCATTATCCCACATTGGATATTTATTTCTCACTAGAAAATGTGCTTTGGGGGTGCCTGGGTGGCTTAGTCAGTTAGGCGTCTGACTTCAGGCTCAGGTCATGATCTCACGGTTCATGGGTTTAAGCCCCACATCAGGCTCTGTGCTGACAGTGCAGAGCCTGCTTTGGATCTTCTGTCCCTCCCCCCCACCCCACCCCTCCCCTGCTCACTCTCTTTCAAAAACAAAGAAACATTGAAAAAGAAAGAAAGAAAATGTGTTTTGGGGGGCAGTGGTGTTGGGAATTGAGAGTGAGAATCCATCTGCTTGATTTTTTTTTTTAAGTATGCATGTTGATGTTGATTGTTAGCAAGTTTTTTTTCCCCTGAAAACCATTTGCTGAGTATCTTTTTAGAAAACCTTAGCAAAAGAAGGAAAGTTCACCCTAACTTCCTGTATAAAACCTTAAAATAGTTACAAATAAAACAAACCAGAGACCAGGCTCAATTATGAATATGGATGCAAAAATCAAAACAAAATCGTAGCAAATAGAATTCCACAATGTACTAAAACCATGACTGACTTGAGTTTATGCCAGCAGCGTAAGTTTGGTTCAGAATCAAGACATTTTCTCAGCATTATTATAGCAAAAGGAAGTATGATCAGATCAGCAGATGCTGAATAGGCATTTGATTAAAAAAAAAAATACACAGTTCTTATACGTAGAAAGGAAGCTCCGTTAATATGTCAGGCTACTTTCTAAAGATCGCTACCAAATATTCTTCTAAACAGTGAAGCATTGCAGCCATTTCATTGAAACCTAGAGCTTCACAGGATGCCCACACATTCAAAGATGTCTTAGAGGCAGTAAGACCAATTAAAAAAAAAGGAAGTATATAAATACTGGAAATGAAAGTTAACACTCTTTGTTGCTAGTTATATGATTATATACCTAACAAAACTAAGAGATTTCAGTGTAAAGACGTAGTGTTTATAGAAGTTTGGTAAGATAGCTGAACATAGCATACATGATTAGTAGAAGCAAAATTTTTCTCTATGCTTGAAATAAACCCCTAAATATGGAAATGTTCCATTTAAAATAATGATAGAAATGATAAAACTCCTAAGAATACATTTAATAAAGTTATTATTTACAAGAAGAAAGTGATACAATCTTTTTTTTTAATGTTTTTTTTTTTAACATTTATTTATTTTTGAGAGACAGAGTGCAAGCAAGCAGGGGAGGGGCAGAGAGAGAGGGAGACAGAATTTGAAGCGGGCTCCAGGCTCTGAGCTGTCAGCACAGAGCCTGACCTGGGGCTCAAACCTGGGAGCGGTGAGATCATGACCTGAGCTGAAGTCAAGCGCTTAACTTACTGATCCACCCAGGCACCCCAAGAAAGTGATATAATCTTATTAAAGGAAATATTTGTGGAGTTGAACAAACTCTAGGACATACTAGTGTCCTTGTTGGGCTAATGTCGTTACAGCTTGGTGCCCTGTAGGGTTGTTTGCAGAACAGATAAATGATCTTAAAATTCATAGGGGAAAGAAAACCAAACATCTGTGAATAGCCAAACAAAGTTTAAGAAGAGAAAAGTCTCGTCAGCACCAGACCGTACCACAGAGCCAGTGTGATCAGATCACTGTTGTATTGACCCGGGAATTGTTCATAGTAGATTATCCAGAAATAGGTATCACTTCGTATGACCATTTCTTTTACAGCAAAAATATTTTTTAGTTTCATGAGAAGAGGCTGGGTTAGTTAATAAACTTGTATCATATTAATTTCAAGCATATAACTCAGTGACTTGACATTTTATATACCTTATAAAATGATCACCATGGTAAGTATAGTCACCATCTGTCACCATACAGAGTTATTACAGTACTATTGACTGTATTTCCTATGCTGTACTGTACTTCCCCCATGACTTATTTATTTTATAGCTGGAAGTTTGTACCTCTTAATGCCCTTCACCTATTTTATCCATCCTCCCACCCATCTCCGTCCACCCCCCTGGCAACCTGTATTCTCTGAATTTATGAGTCTGTTTCTGTTTTGTTTGTTCATTTGTTTTGTTTTTTGGATTCCACATATAAGTGAAATCGCATAGTATAAAAATGTAGGATTTCCCACGGTAAAGATATTATACACAAATGAACAGAGTAATAATAAGTTAAAAAAATCAGGTAAAGTGAATGTAATATGAATATGTATGTGTAATATACAGCAAGCTCTTACAAATTGAGAAGAAAAACATATGTAGTCCATCAGAAAGCTTAGCAAAGGATGTGAATAACTGATTTATGTACGAATCCAGATGAGAAAGAAACATATGCAAAATAACTCTCAAGCTTACTGCCAGTGAGTGAAATTCAGACCCCACTGGTTTGCTGAAGGGGATCACTGGCGACAGGAAGATTGGGGTGTGCTCCTAGCTGAGGCAGAAAGGTGGTTTCTGTAGCCCATCTCCCACTTTGTGACTTTTTCTTATTTTCTCAAAGAATAGTGTTGACTCTTACAGCTTTTAACATTTTTAGAGATTTTTAAAAAATGTTTATTTATTTTTTTTAATTTTTTTATGTTTATTTATTTTTGAGAGAGAGAGAGCATGAATAGGGGAGGGGTCAGACAGAGAGGGAGACACAGAATCCAAAGCAGGCTCCAGGATCTGAGCTGTCAGCACAGAGCCCGACATGGGGCTCAAACTCACGAACTATGAGATCATGATCTGAGCTGAAGTCAGATGCTTAACTGACTGAGCCACCCAGGTGCCCCAAAAATGTTTATTTATTTTTGAGAGACAGAGGGCACAATCAGGGAAGGAGCAGACAGAGACGGGGGAGCAGAGGATCCAAAGTGGGCTCCACACTGACAGCAGAGAATCCAATGCAGAGCTCGAAACCACGAACCATGAGATCATGACCTGAGCCAAAGTCAGACACTTAACCTACTGAGCCACCCATGTGCCCCCAACATGTTTAGAAATTTTTCATCTTTGTTGTATGTCATGCTTTTTATTGTGTTTCATGTTTGCTTCCTTGAGTTAACTTCAGTAACATGGGATTCTTTTCTATGAAACTTAATTTTCTTTTTGAGACATTACTAGATGTGGCTCATTTAAGATCGCTAGTCATGGCATTTTAACTGGAGTCGCTGGTCTTATGTTTTGCTGTCGCCAATAAAATTTTTCTTAAGATAGGTTTTAAAAAATAAATCACCCTAACACTTTTAATATCTAGACTAAAGGAAATGAAATTTGGGTGAACATTTTTCATGCAGAAGAGGATAAATTGTGAATATGCACAGTTGTGGTTTGCATAGTTTCCGGTGGCTATAGTTTCCTTTTCTTTTGCTTACTCTTCTTTGAGAGAACATACATTAAAGCTCATTGCGCCGAAACTAATGTGACATTGTCAACTCTACTTCATTAAAAAAAGAAAAGAAAAGAAAAGAAAAGAAAGCGCTGACAGCTTGGAAACTGCTTGGGATTCTCTTTCTCTCCTTCTCTCTCTGCCCCTCCCCCACTTGCACTGTGTCTCTCTCTCTCTCTCTCTCTCTCTCTCTCTCTCGCTTTCAAAAATAAATACACTTAAAAAAAAGTTGAAGAGAGGTGCTCAGTTGGTTGAGCATCCAACTTCGGCTCAGGTCATGATCTCACAGCTCGTGGGTTTGAGCCCCACACCAGGCTCTGTCAGTACAGAGCCTGGATCCTGCTTCAGATTCCGTGTTTCCCTCTCTTCTGCTCCTCCCCCGCTTGCGCTCCGTGTCTCTCTCAAAAATAAATAAGCCTTAAAAAAATTAAAGAAAGAAAGAAAGGGGCGTCTGGGTGGCTCAGTCGGTTAAGCGTCCGACTTCGGCTCAGGTCATGATCTCACGGTCCGTGGGTTCGAGCCCTGCGTCAGGCTCTGTGCTGACAGCTCAGAGCCTGGAGCCTGTTTCGGATTCTGTGTCTCCCTCCTTCTCTGACCCTCCCTGTTCATGCTCTCTCTCTGTCTCAAAAATAAATAAATGTTAAAAAAAAAATTAAAAAAAAAAAAAGAAAGAAAGAAAGAAAAAATAAAAACCTGAGTAGGAAAATGCTCGTTGCAAGTATACTTGACCACCTGTGTCTGAGTACCATTTGTAAATAATGAATACGTTTGGGAACTCAATTAATTTTCACAGCTTTAAAGGTATAGTAGAACTATAGTGTACCACACCATGTCATGTCCCCATGGTAGGGTTCGTCGAGGGGTTGGTGCTATCTAGTCAAGAATCTATAGAAATAAACTCTCTTTTCCTACTCCTCCACCCCAACATCTTTTTAGGGGAAACGCAGGGCTTGAATGCAGGACCTAGAGATTAAGAGTCGCATACACCAACTGAGCCAGCAAGCCCCTTCCACTAACATCTGTATTATGACATAATTCACACAGTAAAATTCCCCCCTTTTAAATGCATAATTCACTGGTTTTTAGTGTGTCCACAGAGTCGTGAACCATCGCCACTATCTGATTTTGGAACATTTTCACTACCTCAGAAAGAATCCCATTAGATATCCAAAGTGCATATCCTGGCGTTCACACTGAACATTACCTCATGTATCACATAAGTAAAGAATAACACAATAAAAACTGTTCTTACTTTGATACAAAACCTTGTCAGTATTCCCAGGTGGCTTCCTATAGCTTGGTAAACAAGTTTTGGTTTGGTTTGGCGTGCTTGGTTTTCTTCTGTTTTTTGTTCTCCCTGGGATTAAGGGAGCCGACTGTTTTGTTGTGTGGGTGGGAGTGGTGGTTATGGGAAGGTTCTTTTATGATCAGAATCATTCCAAGCCCTTGGTGTTGGTTTGCAGGGCGCTAGCTGATATGAACAATGACGGGCGAATGGATCAAGTGGAGTTTTCCATAGCTATGAAACTTATCAAACTGAAACTGCAAGGGTACCAACTCCCTTCCACACTTCCCCCTGTCATGAAACAGCAGCCGGTCGCTATTTCTAGTGCACCAGCCTTTGGTAAGTCTGAAAAGTACTTGGTTCCTATATTTCATTGTATATTTTAAAAATAAATATTTCCCTTTTTTCCCCTTTTCAGTTTGTAGCCTTGTGAAATTCTAGGAGGCTATTCTGTCTGAAAAGTGATGGTCCTGTGCAGGCAGATGGTGCTGGAAGAGAAGAAGCATGTTCACATTCACACCCTAGGATGTGTTAAAGAACAGAAGTTCAGCTGAGTAAATTTGAAGACATAATGGGCTTTATTAAGTGGTTCATGTGTGGGGCAGCACTCATGTAGCAAGTAGAGGGGAAGGAAGGAGGGTAGGGCAAGAAAGTTGTTGGCACAAGAAAAGAAAAGATTGTATCTGGCAAGATCACTTTCCCTTGAGTAGAAGGCCCGGGGGTCTTATCAGGTCAATTATCTCATTCATCTTCCTTTGGGTGATGGACAGGGCCCATGGGACAGATGACCTCATTGATTCTGATCAGAAGATTCTGGACTGATGGGTCCATTTCTGGGGCAGTTTCAGTCTGCCATTAGGTTGGGTTTTAAGCCCCAGATTTGGTGACTTGGCCTAAGTGACACCATTTGGGTCTTGTGGTTTTCTTTTTATTTTATTTTATTTTATTTTATTTTATTTATTTATTTTTTTCAATGGTTATTTATTTTTGGGACAGAGAGAGACAGAGCATGAACGGGGGAGGGGCAGAGAGAGAGGGAGACACAGAATCGGAAACAGGCTCCAGGCTCCGAGCCATCAGCCCAGAGCCTGACGCGGGGCTCGAACTCACGGACCGCGAGATCGTGACCTGGCTGAAGTCGGACGCTTAACCGACTGCGCCACCCAGGCGCCCCAGTGGTTTTCTTTTTAACAGATGCTAGTAATCAAAATGAAAGCAAAGCTACAGAATGTCAAGGTAAGAAGAATAAAATTGCAGTCTGCTATCGCATCTTCTGCCTTTTTATTGCTCTTCATTCTTGACCCATCACAATGCCACATGCTTCCTGTTGGCTTTCTGTTTCCATAACATTTTGATTTTCCCCTGTGCATAAACAGCTCCCTTGGATTATGGTATCTAGCAATGTGTTTTTAAATTCATGGTATTGAGACAATTGGCCACATTTAGAACAAAATGAAGCAGGAAACAAATAAACATTATGTCAGTTAAAAACACAATTCCATAAAACGATACCCTTTAGCCATATATTTTTCTTTCTTTTTTAAAAATTTTTTTTAGCGTTTATTCATTTTTGAGAGACCGGGAGAGACAGAGCATGAGCAGGGGAGGGGCAGAGAGAAAGGGAGACACAGAATCTGAAGCAGCTCCAGGCTGCGAGCTGTCAGCACAGAGCCGGACGCGGGGCTCAAACCCATGAGCTGTGAGATCATGACCTGAGCCGAAGTCGGACGCTCAACCGACTGAGCCACCCAGGCGCCCCTATATATTTTTCTTAAAACCGAATCAGTAATTAGTTGACTAAGATCACCAACAGTCCTGATTTCTTCTCTGTTCTCACCTTAGACTTTAATTATTTACATTGATTTAAAGATTGCAGTAATCAGATCTAAAATCTGACTCATGAGAAAGTTCTTAGTTTAAACAAAACACAAAAATTGTGGCTAGGGTTTCCCTTTCTTCCTCCTGATATATCTGATAGCAGGCGATAGGTGAAATAGGTTTGGGAGGGAGCAATCAATAGCAAGGCAGGTTGTCTCTGATACAGTTAATGATAAGCTGAGATAAATAAATGTTGTGGCTTTGCTTAATAGATTTGCCATTAAAAACACCTCTGAGCGTTGCCTTTCTCTTGAGGTTTAGCCACAAGACTGGTGGTTATAAGGCAAAAGGTGCAGATCAAGCAAACAGGATAGCGATCCAAGGGAAGAGGGGAAAACTCAGGAAATCACACAGGAGCAAAGGCTAGGAAGAGCAGGGGTGAAGAGTATGGTCAGCTCATAGTGCCCGGGGTCCTTGGTCTTGTCCATTGTGTTCCCAGTCCTGATCCCTTAGTTAGCTGGCTTCTTTCAGTGGAAGTGGCTCTGAATCTCATTAAGGTCCCCTGTAGCCAATGCTTGGTCAGGACCCATGGGTTAAAACAGCTAAAAGGTGTTTGGTTGTCTTTTGGCCTCCCTTCTGGGGCTGCAAGAAGAAACCTCAGAGGGGAGGAAGAGTCAAATAACCAGAGGCATCCCATTTCCTCTTTTTCCCTCAAACCCGGGGTCAGTAATTCTTCCTCTAACATTTAATATGTCTTCTCTTGTTCCATTCTGCAGCAGGACTTTCAACTCTAGAGACATTGCTGATTTATTCCCACAGGTTGTGGCCTCTCTGCCCAGGCGGTTTTACCGTCACCTAAGTAACCTGTCACTGCCTCTGAGGGCACCTGGGATCTCTGAGCTGCCATTCCCCAGTCCTGAGCTCTTCCCCTAGGCTTCCCCACTGCCTTTCCTTCTCTCCTTCCCATCACACCAGCATCCTCAGGAAATTAGTGTCAAGAAAGGAATCACCAGGGAATATCAGAACATGAGAGAAGTTAAAAGTACATTGTGCCCTAAACAGGTTTGCCTAGGTTAACTCAAAGATCTGACCTTTGCTAGTCTTTCTAGTTCCACCTCTCAGCTTGACCCCAGGTAATTTTTTTTTTTATAGTTCTTACATGGCTACTTTTGAGAAGAAAATAATTTGTTACTACTATCATTATTTTCTAATTAATATTAAAAATTATCTGACCATGCATTTCCTACCACTTACATATTATACTTTCGCGTGTATTTTATTTGGTCACAACAATAACCCTAAAATACACAGAAATTATTAGGCCTGTTATGAGAGAATTAAGATTCTACAAAGGTGAACAGTTTGCTTAAGACCATATTTCTAGAAAGGGAGGCAGAACCTGTCCAAACATACAGTTTTTCCCTATTTACCTTCCCACTGTCATTATCACCAAACCATATGGGTGGCATGGAACGTAACTGTTCCTGGGTTCATTGTCTGTGTGGGTGCTAAGACACATGTTAACATGTGGAACTGAGGCCAACTAGGGGTTGATCAACTCCCCTATGTGAAGGAGAGGAAATGGGGTACAGTGATACTGTGACTTGCTTAAGGACAGCCAGCTATATTCCAGGAAATTCTGTGAGTGTTCCTGGTATCTTCCCTCAGTGTGTTTGCACACAGCAGAATTCTTCTTTGACTCTGAATCCAACTGTTTCAGGGAGGGGTTATTTGTCTTTTGCTTGTTTATTTGCCAGATCCCATGGTTTTATTAGATCAAACCATTATTTTTAAACCCCAACCGTGTGTCCCTAGTTGCTAGGAACATGTTGGTGAACAAGATATCATGGCTCCTGCTGCTTTGAAGCTTCTCGTGAAGCTGGAGAAAGCAAGCATATGGATGAATTATTTCAGGGCAAGATAAAAGCAATCAGTTCTGTACAACAGGGTAATAGGATAGAGATGCTGACGGGACAGGTTGAGCAGGGCAGAATTCTCTGAAAAGAGATGACGTTGAGCTGAATTAGAGATGAGAGCCATGTGAAGGAAGACCTAGGAGAGAACGTTCCAGGCAAAAGGAATAGCAGTTGCAAAGGTCCTAAGGCAAAAATGAAGCTGTTTATGTGCAAGAAACAGAAATGAGAGCACTGTAGCTGAGGTATTGGTGGGCCTTCAGGTCAGGGAGGTAAGGCAAGAGCCAGATGGTTTAGGGCCTAATAAAACCACTAATGAGTGAGAATCTTTTTTTCTTTCTTTTTTAAAAGTTTATTTATTTTGAAAGAGACAGTGAGCACAAGCTGGGGAGGGACAGAGAGAGGGGGAGACAGAATCCCAAGTAGGTTCCATGCTATTAGCATAGAGTCCCATGCTCACAAACTGTGAGATCATGAACTGAGCTGAGCTCAAGAATTGGACACTTAACCAACTGCGCCACCCAGGCTCCCCTATAATTTTTTTTTTTTCTAAGTGTAGTGAAAAGCTACAGAGAGCTTATGGGTAAGAGAGTACATGGTTGGTAGACATTTAATTTTTTTTATCACATTTATTTTTGAGAGACAGAGCATGAGCAGGGGAGGGGCAGAGAGAGGGGGAGACACAGAATCTGAAGCAGGCTTTGAGCTCTGAGCTGTCAGCATAGAGCCTGACACGGGGCTTGAACTCACAAACCACCAGATCATGACCTGAGCTGAAGTCAGATGCTCAACCGACTGAGCCACCCAGGTACCCCATGGTTGACATACATTTAGAAAAAATAATCTGTGTTATCTGAAGACTGGACTGCAAGGGGACAAGAGTAGAATCAGGGAAGTCAGTAAGGGGGTTTTTGCCATGGGCAAGAGGTAGTGGGAATTTAGATCTGGGTGTTAATAATCAATGTGGAAGAAAAATAAATCAAATCTTGGTAATGTTAAGTGTGAGGGGTCTAGTGCATTTGCAAGGAGGCAGATGAATCCATGGGTCTGGAACTCAGAAGAAGGATCTATCAGCTCTGGGAGAATTTGAGTATGGATGGCATTGAAATCCCTGGCACTGGATAAAATACCCTAGAATGTGCAACTAGAGTAGGCAGGAGACCTGGGAGCAGGCCTTGCTGTGCTGTGACATTTAAGGGTGTAGTAAAAGGGAAGAAGCCAGGAGTGAAATAGGAGAAGGTTGTTGTCCCATTAGCCAAGAAAACGTTTTTCAAGGAGGCAGAGCTCCCTTGTTGGATTTGCTTCTGAGAGATTGAGTAATAGGACAGAAAAATGAGTGGATTTTACAAGATGGATTTGTATATGACCTTGAAAAGCAGTTTCATTCGAGTGGTAGAGACTCAAGCCTGATTGAAGGCTTGGAAAAGGGGAGAGTGCTACTGGAAAGGAGAGAGAAAGCTGGAGGAGCATGTCAGCTGAAGGCTGGTGTGTTTAGGATGAGGAGTGCTCCTGCATTTTTAGAGAAGTGAGGGAAAACCCAGTGGTTGAGGAGATATGGAAAAATTTCAGGAATTAAAATTTAGCAGAGTCCAGAGAAATGATATCTAAAACACAGCCTCCAGTAGATGGATTTCTTTAGAAATATTTAGAAAATGTTCATTCAGAAAAGGTAGTCAACTGATAAAAGGATGTCAGTCTTTGTAGTGGTTATTTAAAAGCTGGCGGAACAAGGCTTCCTCATGGGACAAGTCCCTACCCTGAGGAGAAATGACTGGGAGTCGAATCCAGATTGAGCAGGGCGGCAACACAGACACGAAAGAAGGAGAAGGTCCAGACCAACGTGGAGGTGGAGGACAGAGGCTGGAAATCCCAGGAAGCAAGGCTCACATAAAAATGAGCCACAGGCAGTATCAGGCAAGGTCAAATCCCACACAAAGTTATTATTAGGAAAAGGAGAATAAAGACCTGAATAACAGCTCTGTGGACAATGAGGGCATCCCAGGAACCTACAATTTCAAAACAAGCTGAAAAATACTAAGAAAATGACACAAGTCGTGAAAGACCAACACGATCAGAATTTTAAAGCCTCGGAAATAAGGCGACAGAACTCAGAAAAGAATGAGAAATAAAAGAAAAAGTCATTTCAGAACTGAAGACAAACCAGAAGCAGCACAAGAGATGCTATCAGAAGAGAACAAGGTAAAAAGAGGAAGATTTCAAACATTAAGAAGAAATGCACAAGAGATAAAAAGGATTTGAGAAAAAGTGACCGATATTGAAGGCAAAGGAAAGTGAATGTATGGTAGTTGGGAGTACCTGAAGAAGGAAACCAAAGCAAGGAAAGAGAACAAATGGTAAAGACTAGTTTAAGACAACTTGCTGGAAATAAAAGATTTGACACTTTATTGGAAAGAAGATATCATATGCTTGAGAATGTCAACCTGGAGAAACCAACACGAAGATAAATTCTACAAAAACAAAAAATTATTTGGGTATATAGCAAAAGAAAGCACACGACTTACAAGAGGAAGAAAATTAGAATGTCTTCAGACTTCTCTATAGCAGTGCTTGATGCCAGAAAAAAACGGAGTAATATATTTAGGATTATGGAGGAAAGACAAAGCCAAGAATTTTGCGTCCAGAAAAACCATGCCACCAAATTTTCCAACTCTCCAGACACTAACTTATTTTTTTATGATTAATTCTGGTGGTAACTACTGGAATTAGAGTCAGATTCTAAGGGTTGAAGGGCCCAGTCCCACAAGGCTGCCCTCACTTCAGACTTGAGTCAGAAGCCCTGAGTCGCTAGGGTACCCATACTTCTGTCTGACTTGACTACAAAGTCAGAGGCTCCCACACACCCTTCTTCCCCTTTCTGAATTTGCTAGAACAGCTCACAAAACTCAGAGAAACATTTACTTAGGTTTACTAGTTTGTTATAAAGTATATGACAAAGGATACATACAGATGAACAGGCAGATGAAGGGGTGTATAAGGGCGAGGCCCAGAAGGGTCCTGTGTGTAAGTGCTTCTGTCCTGATGGAGTTGGGGTGTGCCACCCTCCCAGCATGTGGATGTGTTTACCAGCCTGGAAGCTCTCCAAACCCTGTAATGTAGGAGTTTCTATGGAGGCTTCATTGCTATGGTGTGATTGATGACACCCTTGGCCATTGACTAGCTCAGTCTCCAGCCCCTGTACCCTCCCCTGAGGTCTGTGTGGAGGTGGGGAGGGGTGGGATGGGATTGAAAGTTGCAACCCTCTAACCATGCCTTGGTCTTTCCTGTGATCAGCTCCCATCCGGTAGGTATTCTGGGGGCCCCCAGCCACCAGTCATCTTATTTAAATACAAAAAGACTTCTGTCACTCCAGAGATTCCAGGGGTCTTAGAAGCTCTTGTGTCAGGAACCAGGGACCAAGACCTAATACTGTGTAACAAAAGATGTTCCTATCAGTCAGGAAATCACAAGGGTTTTAGGAGCTCTGCCAGGAACCAGGGACAGACCAGATATATGTATCTTTTTATGACACAATATCACAAGTTCAGACAGAGAAAAAAGAAAGGAAACATTGATCATTTCTTCATTCTTTGGTTAGAATCCTCTAACCAAGAGAAACTCCCCCATGAAAATGTTTGGTTACTCTGAGATTGAATATGTAAAGGAAAGGCAGGATAAATGTTTGATTTCTTTTCCTCCTTTATTTATACTAGTTTTCAAAATAAATTGATTACCTATGGTGACCAATTAGGATTTTTTTCAATATAATTATGAATTCACAAATTTAATTCCCTCTGTGGCTTTCATTCCATTGCAGTTATTATTCTTATTGACCCTCAACTTTGGCCAGTAGATGCCTTTTCAAGTTGGATCTTGTGCCCTTAGGATGTGATTGATTCTTGACATAATTTTTGGTACTCTCCAAAACGATTAATGTGAATTTATTTTTTCTTCTGAATTTCTATTTTAAATGAAAATATGTTAGAGCAGGAAAGCGAGTTTCTTCTTCAAACACTCCTGGATTAATTGTCATTGAACGTGGAAAGGTGGTTCCATGTGACTTTTGCTGGGATTTTTTCTTCCTAGGAATAGGAGGCATCGCCAGCATGCCGCCACTCACAGCTGTTGCTCCGGTGCCAATGGGATCCATTCCAGTTGTCGGAATGTCTCCACCTCTAGTATCTTCTGTTCCTACAGCAGCAGTGCCTCCCCTGGCTAACGGGGCTCCCCCTGTTATACAACCTCTACCCGCATTTGCTCATCCTGGTATGTGACCTGCTGAATCCACAGACTGACTTTTTACAACTTGTGTTTTACTCTTCGCTCTTGTTAAATCTTCTGTCATCACTCTCTGATTACATTTGAATGGCATTTTATTCCAGAGGAAGATATCTTCCTTTTTTTTAAATTTAATATCTCACTTTTTCCCCAACACTGAATAGGATGTGTTAGGATAGAGAGAGGTAACGGAGAATGAAATTATGGAGCTCTGGTACCATTATGGACAAAGGTGAACTCAACAGCTAAAACCAAGAGCATAATTTCCTTTCAAGGGCTTGACAGGAGTGACTCAAGTTTGATCAGTAGTAGTTGAACATTTTCTCTTCCCGTGTGTCAGTTACTACTTTTCTTCAGCTGCTATGAATTGCTAATAAGTAAGCCATTCCCTTAGGAGAATGGGGAGGAAAAAAAGAACACAGCTATTTCTTTTTTTTTTTTTTTTTTTTGAGGAGGTGGAGTGAATCAGGAGGAAGGGGGAAGGAAGTTGATTAAATGGCTAAATACATTAAAGACGGAGTATTACCTGTTTGCTTCATTGATAGAAAGGATTAAAAAGTTCCTGGTGTAGTTAATTTCATTTTGAGACTTTATTTGAAGTCTTTTTCCCTTTAGTGAAAAGAAAGCATAAACTGTAGATGTGGTCTACACATCTAATGAATTCTTATCCGGGGGTAAAGTATTTTTTAAAAAAAGTACTTGGGATATGTCTGTGTAATTTCAGTAGCGATGATGGCCTGGATTTTAGCCATGGGTAATGATTATGTTTGAATGGTTATTTCTCTGCCCAGTTCCCTGGATTTATTCCATCTGTCAAGATCTGTCTGTAAGTTATAGCTAAAGAATCTAAAGGCAGCACTTTTTTTTTTTCTTTTTTTAAGATTTTCTTGTCCCGTGTAGTTTACCTTTCATATGTGGCCATGGCTATAGACGTGATGGCAGCTGTAAAAGTTGTTGCAGTTACTTTTCAAGTAGCATCTGTGAATGCATGTGCTCTGTCTTGTTTTCTTTTGGGCTTAATAGCAAATGTTGCAAGACAATAGGCCAGGAGGTGGGGAATGTGGCTGAGACTCAGCGTATTTTCCTGGCACCCAGCTAACCAGCCCTAATGGGAATCAGACACAAAGGCTGACCCTCCCTAGCATCCCATGTTATCTGGCCGGGACTGCAAGGCTGGGACCTTTTGTTTCTTTCATCTGGACCTAATACTTCTGCTCCTTTAGCACAGTTAAGAAAATGCCATCCTATGTATTTAAGCTGTTGCTTCTTTAACTATGGGAACAGATCCCGTAAGATGTGATACAGGGGCATCTGGGTGGCTAAGTCGGTTAAGCGGCCAACTCTTGGTTTTGGCTCATGATTTCACAGTTTGTGGGTTCAAGCCCTGTGTCGGGCTCTGCACTAACATTGAGGAGCCTGGTTGGGATTTTCTCTCTGCTCCTCCCCTGCTTGTGTGCTCTCTCCTCTCTCTCTCAAAATAAATAAATAAATAAACAAACAAACAAACAAACAAATTTACAAAAAAAGATGTGATATGAAACTTTTAACAAAGAGTTATGGATTGTAAGCATTACTACTTAGCAAGGTGATTTTCAGTAGGAATGAGTAAATCTAGAAAAATTTTTGGCAAGGGGCAGGGAGTGAGGAGGAAGTCACTCTTTTTGAGTCCAGGGTAGTAAGGGAGGAATAATTTCTGCCTCAGATTTGGTGAGTATATATTTTAATTTTCACTAATAGGAAAATGTTTCTTTTCTTTGTAGGATTAAAATTATTCACCATTTATTTATTTTTACAGCAGCCACATTGCCAAAGAGCTCTTCCTTCAGTAGATCTGGTCCAGGGTCACAATTAAACACTAAATTACAGAAGGCACAGTCATTTGATGTGGCTAGGTAAGTGTGCTTATTTCTAAATGGGCATTGGATTAAAGCCATTATCTGATTAACATCTAAAACTGAAAGTGAATTAACTATGTTCTTTATTGTCTTTTATTTTGTAGGATGCCAATAATTAGTTCTGGATAATGTTACTAGGTTTTATCACTTACATGTTGTAGAGATGACAAATAAAGAACATGACATTTCCTTAAAACACTTTGGGTGTTCTTTTTTTAATAACGAAAACAAATAGCTACTAGTTTTACTAATGTTTAAAAATAATAAAATAGAACTCCAGGTAGGAGGGGGAAATTAACTCTTTTCTATTAACCCTTTACATATTTATAGAAAATTTTATATGAAGATTTGAGCCACAGTTGGCCTTATCTTTTATTCTATCTCAGATAATCTCATGGAATTTGCCCAAGATAACATAGCTCCTAAATGATAGAGCCAGGAGTTTAACTGAGTTCTTTCTGATTTTAAGGCATGAGTTCTTACCTGAAAGTTTGCTCTGAAAACTTCAGCTAATGGTGGTACACAGATACTTGTCTTCTGCTCGTTAAGGTTTTATTCCTAAGACTCAGGAACATTGCTGAACATCTACTTGCCAAACACCTTGTTAATCCCATTCCGTGCCCCCAACCACCTGCAGTAGATACCGGCTCAGAATTGTGAATTAGGAAATAAACCCAAAGAAGCGATCATCCTCACTTACAGTTTACATTTTACCACAAGGTAGAACTGAGATTTAAACTCAGGTGATCCAACACCGAATTCCCTATTTCTTAGTCTTTCTCCTATACATGCTGAAGTTTTGAGTTTTCTGTGACTCTCCACAAGGGATTTTGAAATCTGCCTTAAAATTGATGTGTGACTGGGGCACCTGGGTGGTCGGTTCAGTTGGTCAAGCATCCCATGACTCTTGATTTCACCTCAGGGCATGATCTCACGACTTGTGGGTTCAAGGCCCCCCCACCCCCCACCCAGGCTCTGCCCTGATAGTGCGGAGCCTACTTGGGCTTTTCTCTCTCTCTGCCCCTCCCTCTCTCTCTCAATGTAAATAAACAAACTTAAAAAGAAAACATTACAAAATTGATTTGTGCCATAAGAATGAATAAGTAATCAGTATTAGCAAACAGTAATGTTATTAAGGCAACTGGTTGTGGGGGGTCAGATTGGTAGTCACCTTTTTAGTAATTTCAATTTCCAGCAAATTTTTAGAACGTGGCATCTAATTTTTGGTTACCTGCTAATGAGTTTTTAGTCCCTTTAAGTTTTCAGGGAAGTCTCGGCAGAAAACTATGACTTGATAAGTGTAATCTGGGGCAGCTTCTGTGTGCAACACCCTATATTCCTGGGGTGCAGAAGAAAGATAATTAGCTTTTGACAAATAGGCAAGAGTTGGAATCAGCATAAATTAGTTAGTTTAAAATGAGAGGGCTGTTGCAGAAGTACTCACAGCAGAATCGACCTTGGTAAGTGTTTTTTATTAAGAAATTTATAATAGTTGAAAACGTGACTGTAATTAGGTACTCTTAAAGTGCTTGGGAGCCGTTTCCAATGCATTATGAAGTATATGTTGTTAAGTATAAGTGCATAGGTAACACATGTAAATGATGACTGAGAGGTTCAATTTATGATTAAAACTTTGCTTTTACATATGAGGAATAGATATCTTTGTTGAAATGACAGGAAATTGCAGATGGGGTATTAGTTACAATCTGTTCTGGAAGTGAAATGCCATTGAGAGCTTAGCCATTTTGTTTAAATTGCCCTATTTAGACACCAGGCTCTTAACAAGCCATAGGTACCAATGTGATACTTAACGGGGGAACAACTCTGAGGACCTCGTCACTAAGGAGGTGTAGACCCAGTTGACTCCTGGCAGGGGTTTTCTTGGGTCAGGCTTGCTGCACATTGGCAAGAAAAGGTCAGCACTTGATTGCACTTAAAGAAAGCAAAGCCCCTTCCATTACCGCCCCACTGATTTGCCGTGACCCTGGAAATGTTCTGTTCTCTCTGGGCAACTCTCCATTTGTGGGAATTTAAACTTCCCAGAATGAAATGATTTCCCTTCATTAAGAACTATATCCTGTCTTTTGCTGAATAGAAAGTTACACATGTTAAAGAATTAATACCTTTAAAGGCAGCTACCTGTTTGCTATCAGCATTGCTTTTTGAGCTGAAAGAGAACTGTTCTAGAAGTTAGGAAAAGCCTGGACATTTTTGTATCATTTTAGATCCAAAGAGGTCTTTCCGTATTTTGTAGAGGCTTCCAGTTATTAAATTGTGTGTATAACTTGGAACAGCCACTTATTCTATTGTGTTTACCCTTGATTCTGGAAAAATAATGAGCATGTCTGTTTTGAGAGAAATGTTTATAACCTTAAAATATGGAAATACTCATTACAGAAAATTCAGAAGTAATGATTAGAAACCTAATAAAATGTCAAAGCTGGTTTTCTCGGGAAGTTCGTAGTTTACTGGTGTTAAAAGAATGTAAATATGTTCTTCACTGTTCATCCTTTTACCCCTCCTTCCTCTTCCCCACAGTGCCCCTCCCGCCGCAGAATGGGCTGTTCCTCAGTCATCCAGACTGAAATACAGACAGTTATTCAATAGTCATGACAAAACTATGAGTGGACACTTAACAGGTATTTGCAAATGAGAATTAATTTTGTGAAATATGATTTTTATTCCAAATCCAAATTGCTTCCAGATGTTGGGCCAAAGATATTTTCCAAATGCCTTTCTCTATTTGCTTTTTTCTAAACAAGGTTTTCATTGTCCTTCTTATGTTAAGTTCTCATCTACTGATAATGCCACAGTGCCTAAGGCTTTGACCCCGTTGCTTCTTGGTAAATGGAACATAGACCAAGGATCTTTCTGCACAGTGGATCCCACCAGTACGCAAATCAAAGCACTCTCGCACAGAAGCACTGCTGTAAACCCAAACTGGTTCAGGTTCTGAAGTTCAACTTAGTAGATGAAACTGTCTACTCAAAGAGTAGACTGCTGTAAACCCAAACTGGTTCAGGTTCTGAAGTTCAACTTAGTAGATGAAACTGTCTACTCAAAGAGTCAGCATTCAAGGCAGTATGCAGGGTGGAAGTAAGTGGCTGGTGAGTTTGGCACCTGGCTCTGCCACTAACTAGCTGGAGGTCACTTTTCCTATTTAGATCTCATTCCTTGTACAAGGGGCCAGAGTTAAGTTATATGAACTCCGTGGGTTTAAAAATAAAAAAAAGATTCTGTTATTTACATCAGAAGGATAGAAAGGATTTTAGGATACTCTCCACAAACCTTTCTACAGCCTCCAGGCTCCAAGCTGTCGGCACAGAACCTGACACAGAGCTCGAACCCGCAGACCGTGAGATCATGACCTGAGTCGAAGTCAGAAGCTTAATCAACTGAGCCACCCAGGGGTCCCTCCAGAAACTTTTCTAATGAGAGTTAAACACTTAAAATTGATTAGAGAATTATAAAGAAAATTGTAATTTTAATAAAGGAAAAGAGAGACATCTGATACAAACTTTGAGAAAGAAAAAAATGTGGCTGTCCTCTAACAAATACAGAAGGAAGGCGAGAGAGTTAATTTGCCTAAAGTAGAGACGCACTGGTATATAACACAAAATTTGAAGTTCTGATTCTGTCTTACTATATTACAATTGCAATTTTTACTTCGAAAAGAAAAATTCATCTGTTAAAAAATTTCAGGGTTCAGTGAGATTTGGAAGGGTCTGATCTAATCTTGAGCCTTATCCCTCATAAAGTGTCTCACAGTTTTCTCAAATAAGGATATATTTATATCTGTGGGGGGGGGTGCAAATTGTAGTTAAACACAAATATTCTAAATGCCACGCTCACTCTCTGCTAAAACAGTACCTGTCATTTTTATACATGGCATGAGAAACCAGTCCAGCTCATCCAAGCACTGAAGGAATATTCAATAGTGATAGTTTTAAGTATAATGCAACGTGGTTTATTTCACACCAGTGCTCCAAACAGACCCAGAACTACATTGTCCGTAAATCTGAAAACAATTTTTCAGGGCATTGTTGGTGTATGCTGTGAATGAGTTAGGTAGTATTCAGATGTGACATTGATGTGGAAATTCTTTCTTGGGAGGATTTGTATTTTATGACTGAAGTGCAGTGTCTTCATTCCAAAGATGACGACCCAGTCACTCGAATATTTAGAACTTTTAATATCTGAGACAAACAGTAAAATTTGAAATATACGAAAAAGAGCAGATTTGTGTTAATGTTCATCTACATACTTACTACTGTCTTGTCCTGGAAAGAATTCATTTTTATTTATTTATTTATTTATTTATTTATTTATTTATTTATTTATTTATTTTAACGTTTATTTATTTTTGAGACAGAGAGAGACAGAGCATGAATGGGGGAGGGTCAGAGAGAGGGAGACACAGAATCCGAAACAGGCTCCACCTGTCAGCACAGAGCCTGACGTGGGGCCCGAACCCACGGACCCAGAGATCATGATCTGAGCTGAAGTCGGACGTTTAACCGACTGAGCCACTCAGGCGCCCCTGTCCTGGAAAGAATTTAAAATGAGAATTTTATCTTCAAGGTAGATCTTTTTATAGTCATGTAAAATAGATTTATTACAGTAAACTCAATAATAAGTGAAAGAAATTTGTTTTCCCTTTATGAGGAATCGATATAGGCTGTGTTTTAGACTAAATAAAACTGGATGGAAGCAGACCCGGTTTGTTGTGATGGATAAAATACAAAGATAATTGTCATGATCACAGCTATGAAAATAATGATTTGAGTCCTGAACCCCAAAGCAGTTACTCGTTCAGTTTAAGGATAAGAAGACTATCAAGAAACTTGAAAAGAGGTCCCAGATCACAGAGGCCCAAATGAAATATATAATTTAATATTCTTTTTTTTTTTTTTTAATTTTTTTTTTCAACGTTTATTTATTTTTGGGACAGAGAGAGACAGAGCATGAACGGGGGAGGGGCAGAGAGAGAGGGAGACACAGAATCGGAAACAGGCTCCAGGCTCTGAGCCATCAGCCCAGAGCCTGACGCGGGGCTCCAACTCCCGGACCGCGAGATCATGACCTGGCTGAAGTCGGACGCTTAACCGACTGCGCCACCCAGGCGCCCCTATAATTTAATATTCTTAATCTCATGTTTTTCTTCTCTAGTAGTTTTGTTTTGTGTGTGTAGATTCTTGTTTTGAAGGAGTTAAAAAGCAATTTTACAACTTACCATGTAATTAGAATTTTTAAATCTAATGCAGTAGTTCTCAGCCTTGTAGTTGTGACATCCTAATGTTATGAACACCAGTTAAAGTATAGGATTTGTGGAAAATTTATGTTTTAATATTAATTATGTTTAACATTAATAAAATTAATTTAATATTAATTAATTAATATTAACATGAATTAAAATTAATAATAATTTAATAATTAATTAATTAATTAATTTAATATTAATTAGTCTAAGGTCTAATCCTTAGACCGTGACTTCCACCCGCTTGCATTCACCTGTGTTTTGGAGTGGAGTGGAATTATAGTTAGCACTCCCAGGAATTGTGCGTAATCTGCAGCTTAGCAGATCTGTGCTGTAGCCTGTGTTAATATACTGTTGTTAATGCCCATTGTTAATATACTGTTGGTGGTGGTTAGAGGGATTGCTGATTGCTGCTGTGTTTTATTTTCACATACTTCTTTTGGATCCTACCAATTTTTTTTCTTTTTTCTTTTTTTTTAAATGTTTATTTATTTTTGAGAGAGAGATTGACAGAGTGTGAGCAGGGGAAGGGCAGAGAGAGAGAGACAGAATCTGAAGCAGGCTCCAGGCTCTGTGCTGTCAGCGCAGAGCCTGATGCAGGGCTCGAACTCACAAACCGCGAGATCATGACCTGAGCTGAAGTCGGACGCTCAACCAACTGAGCCACCCAGCCGCCCCATGGATGCTACCAATTTCTGGCTACATCTGTAAGAGTATGTTGTGGGCATAAGAATGCCATTGATTGGTCCTAAGCAGAAGAAAGTGAGGCTGTCTGAGCTCATGATAGGAGCTTGTCCACCATGGGAAGTGAAGCTAATCTAGCAGTGGCACAATTTACCCCCCTGGGCTGATTTAGCTGATACACCTGCTTAAGTGGACACCCCCTTGTTCCTTCACAACTGGATGTGTATGCTATTACACGCTCTTAAAAGAGACAATCTTATAAAATAGAGAGGGCCCATTCTATAATTAAGTTTCTATATGTAGCTGTAGAATTCTGACAACTTCATCAATGCTAGCCTTCTCCTCAAAGAGGAATTTTCTTATCTTGCATTCTGAACCAATGAACGTGCTACTTGGTTATTCATATATTAATCACAAAAGCTAAAGTCTTAGTCATTGTTTGTGATAAATTAACTTCATTTAATTATCTGGGGCACCTGGGTGGCTCAGTCATTTAAACTTCGTTTCATTTCTCTGTCCTTTCCATGCATGCTTCCCTATGCAAACATGGATGCCCATGTAGGGTTTAGGAACTTGGGATTTCTGTTTATCCCCATAATGTTTCCATATAAGCCAGTACTACAAAACTGGTATCTTTTTATGGATGTAGGCTTCCACAGGATAGTTCTCTGTATTCAGAGTTCAATTTTATGCTGTTCTCTTATGATAAGAGGCCATCTTAGGTGTTGGTGGTCTATTTTGATGCTTCATAACCTTGTCTTAGGATATATAGAGTCAAGTATGAGAATCACAAAAGACAATTGTGGCCTTCTAGTATGGTATTTAACAAACTTTTTCTGTAAAGAGCAAAATCATAAACATGTTAGGCTTGCATTTTAGTCTGTCACAACTACTCAACTTTGCCATTGTAGTACAAAAGTAGCCATATTGTCATGCTTAAGTGAATGGGCATGGCAGTGTTTCAATAAAATTTTATTTACAAAAACAGATGGTGGACCAGATTTGGCCTGTGGGCTGTGGTTTACCAATCCCTGTTCTAGATCATTTCCCTCACTTCAGAGAGGAAGGAACTTCCTCTTAGAGAGTGAAAGTACTTTTGTTAATGTCATATGTCATTAGGGAGTAGGAAGAGTCAGGACTGGCATCCAAATCTCCTAATATCCATCCAGGTCCAGGACCAGTTCTTTTTTTTTTGTTTATTATTCCATTTTTAAAATATAATTCATTGTCAAGTTGGCTAGCAGACAGTGTATACAGTGTGCTCTTGGTTTTGGGAGTAGATTCCTATGATTCATCGCTTATATACAACACCCATGCTCATCCCAAGTGCCCTCCTCAATGCCCATCACCCATTTTCCTCTCTTCCCCACCCCACCTCCATCAACCCTCAGTATTGGGAGTAGGTGAAATACTAACTTACTTTTATATAGTTCTGAAGTGGAGAGGATTGTTACAAGCATAAATTAAAGCATTCACTAAAGTTTTGCTAATTTCATGTTCCAGCGTGCTAAGTACAGTATTAAAGACTAAACAAAATGATCAGTGTACTTTCCTCATATCCCACAGAACTTTTTAGAGCTTTCACATTAATTCAGTAAAGATTGCTTCTTATTGTATTCTTAGATACTCTCAGTACACGTGCACACACACATACACAAGCGTGCGCGCGCACACACACACACACACACACACACACACACTCTCATCCAGCAGGAATGTGTACATCTGTTTTGCCAAAACTTAGAATGCTCACTATTCTAAAAAACAAGTGAAAAAAAGCCCCAAACTGAAAACTACCTGAATGCCCATCAACAGAATGATACATAGATTATTACATATTCACAAAATGATACACCACACAGCAGTTAGGGTTAATGTTCTGCAACGTTGAGTAAAATAGGCCAGACTTAACAAGGTCACACTGTACTGTTAGAAGTTAGGCCTCACTTGGTGGAAGGGATGATTAGAAGGCAGCTGGAGAGGGCTTCTGGGGTGCTGTTTCATAATTGGGTATGGTTTACTTGGCCGTTTTGAATTTGGAAAATTAAGCTGTAAACCTGTGCACATGTAAAAATACATATGTATATGTTCATGTGTGCTTTTCTGCCTATATTTTATATGTAAATAAAAGAATATTGTCTGTAATATTAACTACCATTAAGTAAGCACTTTCTATGTGCTAGCATTATGCTAAGTTCTGTGTTATAGTTTCTTACTTTATGAAGCACAGTCTTGTAAATCTGAAAAGGACCTCTGAAATGAGAAAATTTGGTCCACGGGGCGCCTGGGTGGCTCAGTTGGTTATGCATCTGACTTGGGTTCAGATCATGACCTCACAGTTTGTGAGCTCGAGCTCACTGGGCTCTCTCCTGTCAGCACAGTGATCCTCTGTCTCCCTCTCTCTCTGCCCCTCCCCCATTCTCAAAAATAAATAAATAAACATTTAAAAAAAAGAAAAAAGAAAGCAAACTCGGTCCAATTAGTAAGGAACCTGCCTGCCGGCCCCAAGTCCCATGGCAAGTTCTCGGGCACTTTGTGTGCTGACACATTGGGGTGATTCTCAGAGGTCCCTAACCACTATTGCTTGCTGTGTAAAAACACGTCCATTTTTGTGGGTTTGATGAGGTGCCAATTTGAAAAATGAAATAGCTGAAAGCAAAAATCTATACACAGCAATCTTGCCAATATAATGGTTTAGAATTCCTTGGTCCGTTGTTGGTTGTCCTGGGACCACACCTTGTGAGTCAGTGATAGTAGAAGACATATTTGTCTCTCTCTCCCTAACACTGGTTTATTTTAACACTCAGAATTTCCCACTGTAGACTTCCATCTGATATCTAAGGCTAGTTTCATGCCAGAGGTGCAGATATTTACAAGTATTTTAAGAAATGAGAACTGATTTTGAGAGCAGAGTTGGAATTCCGGGAATTCTTTATTGCTAACATCAGAAATGGTTGTGATATTAGACTTGAGCAAGTCACTTTTTTTTTTTTTTTTAAGACTGTGTAATAAAATGGTTACAAGAGTTGTTCTCTCTAAGGTCCCTTCCTTCTCTAAGATTCTCTGAATCTTCTCTAAATGTGTCTGATAGTAGTCATGGTGGAGACAGCAGGCGGTGGGAGAAGATACTGAATTTAGAGGCCTTAAGTTTTGTAAATAAAAGCCTGATACAAATAGAGATGGTAGTCTGGACAAAAGGGCAGGTTGTATTTTGAAACTAATCTTTTACATACTCTTTTTTCATTAAGCATTGATTTAACAAGAATTTATTGAGTATGTTCCAGATGCTGTGCTGTGCTTTGTGTTTTTTCCCCTTTTCATTGGCGCTTAATTTCCTTTTGAAAAAGCCCCTTGGGTAATAGCAAATATTGTTCAAAGCACTGTGATTGCAAGAGATTGCAGAGTGCTTAAGTGCACAACACTGGTCTTCCTGGACAGTGAAGATTTGCTGATTCATCTTTATATTTTTTTTTTCCCCCCCGGATTCTGTTTAGGTCCCCAAGCAAGAACTATTCTTATGCAATCAAGTTTACCACAGGCTCAGCTGGCTTCAATTTGGTAAGGAATGAAAAGTTCCTTGGTTTGTATAAAGTGGCTTACATTGGTATGGCTTAATGGGTCTTCAGATTGATACGATTATTTATAGATGGGGACATAGGGATTGTGCTTAATTTTCCAATCAGCTGTGATGATTACCTCTCTTTTCCCCCTTTTTGATTTTGAAAAATACAAAAGCAGAGAGATTAATGAATGCTCAAGAACTCCTAACACAGTTTAAGTAAGTCTCAACTTGTGTCTGCCCTGGTTCTCCCCTCCTCCTTCCTGGTTATTTTAAGTCAGATCTCAGTGATTATATCATTTTCATCTGCAGATATTTCAGCCTGTATCTCCAAAAGGGATTTTTTTTTTTTTTAGGGATTTTTTTTTTAAGAGGACTATAATATCAGTAGTCGAATAAAAAATTTTCAATAGTAATTCTTATTAAGTTAATCAGGAAGTGTTCAAATTCCTTAGGTTGACTTGTGATTTTTTTGTAGTTGATTGGTTCAAACCAGATGTAAATAAATCTATATTTTGCATCAACTCATTGATACGTTTAAGTGTTCTAAAAACTTCCCCTTGTTCTCCACCCTCACCCCCGAAAAGAAAAACCTGGATATTTTGTCCTATAGTTTCTCCAGTCTAACTTCTGATGGTTGCATCCTTATGTTAATTTATTCCTGTGAGGAGATTGGTCATTGGATCTAGAGCAAGGTTTCTCCACTTAACACTGTTGGCCATTTGGGCCCCATACTTTTTTGTTGTCGGGAGCTGTTCTGTGTATTATAGGTTGTTCAGTAGCCTCTCTGGTCTCTACCTATTAGATGCCAGTAACTTGACCCCCATCCCCAGGTGTGACAAAGATGTCTCCATATACTGACAAATGTCCCTGGGATACAAAATTATCCCACTCATGAGAACCACTTACCAAATCCAAGTTTGATTTTTTTTTTTTTTTTTGCAAGACTACATGAGAGATATTACTATGTACTTCCACTGGGGGGAAGAGGGAGGGCACATAAATGTCTCTGGCTATTTTGTAATGATTTTTAATAGCTTGAGTTGCTTTAATTGCTTACATGTGAGGTTCATGATTTTGCCGTAGGGCCCATTGATATGGTTGCTTCATAAGTGGTCACGCTCTAGTGTAGTCCCTTCACCCATCCTGGTTCCTTCTGCTTTGTGTTAAAGGATCTTCCTTTTGCAATCGAATAATAATAGACCAGTTAATAAACACAATAGACCAGTTAATACGACACATCCAGATCTCTTTAAGTCTGGGTATGTGCCAGTATCCTAGGGCCCTCTGAAATATAAACTTGAGATCTAACATTTATGGAGGTTGACTGGCAGTTTATTAGGTATGTTTGTGACACTGGAATATATTGAAATGCTTAAGTTTCTCACTTATAACCTGCTCTCTCTGAAAAAAATACTTGAGACTTATCCTGCTAGAGTGTTATTATATTCCCTTTCTATACAACAAAAAGGTATTTTAATTAAATGTTTACAGCGATTATTTAGGCAAGTAGCGGGGGGAAAAAGAACTCCACTGCCTTCTAATCGAATTTACCCAGGAGTGGCTGGTGATGGGGCATGGGAAGGAGGAGAGGATAAGAAAGAGCTGGCAGGAGCCTGGCATCTGGAAATTACAAAGCTAGAGGGACAGAAAAGAGATCAGTGGCTGCCAGGGGCTGTGGGCAAGGCAAGGGGGTGACTGAGAGACTTGGGGGAATTTTGGGTGGTGATGGAACTATTGCGTGTGGTGTGATACACAACTGACTGAATTCAGTTACACAACCGAATCTGTCAAAACTTGCAGAACTGTGCTCTAGAAAGGGCGAATGTCACTGCATGGACATTATACCTTAAAACTGAAAACCAAAACGGCGTATGCCACCTAAGGAAGTTTTAGACTTAAGAGGAGTTTCTTGATTTATGGCCTCAGCAGAGCCGGTTTCCCAATGCAGTATCTGTCCTGTTCTCATTCTGGTGAACAGCTTTGTTGTCTGGCATCCTCTTTTGGTGTTGTTAAGTGAAATCACATTCTTGGACTTGCTGGAAAAATCTGTTCACTGTCATTAACTATTAGGGCATGTCGATTATGGGGAATGGTGGCCGTTGATCTTGAGATTAAGGAGCAGCAAACACCTTGACTCTGAGGCAGAAGGCCATAAGGATCCACCCTTGTAGGTCTAGGTCAGCCACAGGCCAACTAACCTAAATGGGTGGAACCTGGCCTGCATCTGTTTTTAGAAGGTTTTCCGCTCATTTATTTATGGATCGTCCACGGCTGCTTTCCTGCTGCAAGGGCAGAATTCAGTGTGATAGAGACCATGTCTTGGAAAGCTTAAATGTTTACTATCTGACCTGATAGTTTGCCGAGCATAGTGTTTAAAGACACATAAAATGTGGGTATGATGCATTTTAAATGGGCTGGCAGGGATTGAGAAAAGCATAATTATAATCATAGTTAACATTTGCTGAATGCCATCCCAACTGTATGGATTGTCTCATTTTTATCTTTCCTTATGAAATAGGCACTATTTTTATAAACCGACAAGGCATAGAGAGACTCAATTGGCCTACAGTCAGAATAAGAAAACAGAACATTTCAATCACTCATGAATAGTAACAAGCATGCATTTTCGTGAAGTTAGAAAATAATTAACTTTTTTGAATAGGAATCTTTCTGACATTGATCAAGATGGAAAACTCACAGCAGAAGAATTTATCCTGGCTATGCACCTGATTGATGTAGCGATGTCTGGCCAACCACTGCCACCTGTCCTGCCTCCAGAGTACATTCCGCCTTCCTTTAGGTAAAGAACATTTGGCTCTTATAAGAAACTGTGTGTTTGGTATGTGAATTTCAAACTGGGCTTAGTTGGCTACGTATCTTTTGCTCATTTTTATTCCTGGTAAGTAAATGAAATATCCATGAAGTGAAGAAAATCTTATCTAGGCCCTGTGTTAATCTTGGACCTGTTCTTTTCTTTAAAGTATTTATAGTATATTAGTAAAATACCAAAAGAGGGATGATTTTTGTACCAATCTATATAGTCAAAGTTCAGCAAAAATGTTAGCAGTTAAACTACAACTAAAATAACTTGTATGTAGACAACAAGACAGGGAGGGATGCCTGGGTGGCTCAGTCAGTTAAGCATCCAACTCTTGATTTTGGCGCAGGTCATGATCTCATGGTTGTGGGATTGAATCCCACATGAGGCTCCCTGCTGAGCATGGAGCTGGCTTGGACTTCTCTCTCTCTCCCTCTCTCTCTGCCCCTCCCTCCCCCCAAAAAACAAAAAATAAGAGAAAAGAAGGCAGGGAAATTCTGCCTGTGAATTCTATACATTGGATAGGCAACAAAATACTGGCAATGTAGAAATTATAGTCAGGAAGCTAATTAAAGAAAATTATCCTAGTCTGAAACACAGTTTCAGTAGAGATATCAAGAGTAGACCAAGGTCCAGTTTGGAGAGATCTGTGGTGACTGGTATCCTCTACCTACACACGCCACACACACCTCTCCTCCCAGACAACGATGTCTTTAGGCTTTAATTTAAAAGACAAACATGAAATCTTACAAGCACAAAGAACAGAAAACACACACACACACAAATAAGACTTTCTGGGAAAGCCGAGGGGAAGGAATCCCCACAAAAAGAAAAGAAACGGTGCTGTTGCTGTGAGCGCATACATGGAGTGAGCTGAGAAAATTGACTGTAGGAAGAAATGGTAGTTGGGCGGTTTGTAAGGTCTGACAGTTGCAAAAATCACCACAGGAGACACAAGGCTGGAAGCTGATAAAAAACAAAACAAAACAAACAAAAAAAACCGCGTTAAAACAAAAAGGTAGATTGGTTTCAAAGAGCAAGGTTAATGGTTTAAGGTGAAACTAATCAGGCAACTAAGTGATTTGTTAGGGATTGTAAAGTGTAGAGATTTCATGTGTTTATTATGAGATAAAATGGAAAAAAAGATTTTGTAAGGGGAAGAGAGAGGCTTCCATTCAGCTGAGCTGCTAATCTTCCTTGATGGATTTCATGTTCCATAAAAGGGTAATGGTAACAACAGTGAACTCTTGATTGTGGACCCAGGCACCGTTCTAGACACACGATGCCTAGACTGAATTAATAATAATGACAATAATTAAAGATTAGACACTCGATGATTATTCACTAATTCAGTCCTTCGCAATTGCCCTGATTTAGGTGATAATTCTAAATATCCAAATAAGCTTGGCACTTAGCCTCTGGTAGCATTCATGTACTCATTTTTAAAAACCTCTTTGTAAACAGGACCAGATCTTTATCTTTTCCTCACGATACGTGAGATTTTCTCCATGATGTGGCATCATCTTTAAAAACTCTTTTCCACCGTTGGCTCGGTGCTACCTAGACGGCTTTGTGTGAATCCATTTTTTTTTTGCTTTGTTTCCCCAATTGCAGACGAGTTCGATCTGGCAGTGGTATATCTGTCATCAGCTCAACGGCAGTAGATCAGAGGTTACCAGAGGAACCAGTTTTAGAAGATGAGCAACAACAGCTAGAGAAGAAATTGCCCGGTAAGGCAGTCTTTCCATTTCAGTTACATCATATTAGAGGTTTTCCGCCTCTAAGGCAAAGATGGGGGTAAAAAGAAATGTAGCTTCTGACATTCTTGCTGTATTCCCTTTAACTGACCTTAGAAAGGAGACACTTTTATCATGTTTTGGATTTGACTATAGGTAGAGAAATAAGAACGTTACAGACTTGGCTACTTTTAAACTGAAATCTGATTATTTACCAGCAACCAAAAATTTTATAGCTGTTATTTATAGAACACTCAAAGTTGGTAAACCTTTACAGTGCTTGCTTAGTACCACCAGTGCCGAAATAGGATGTAAAACTGCCTCTTGTTATTTTCTCACACTGTTATAAGAAAATTGGAAACTCCTTAATAACAGGAAGCTATTTTACATTTGGTAAGAACCTATTTTAAAACACCTTCATTGGAGCGTCTGGGTGGCTCAGTTGAGTGTCCAACTCTTGATTTTGGCTCAGGTCCTGATCCCAGGGTCCTGGGACTGAGCCCCGCGTCAGGCTCTGTGCTGAGTGTGGAGCTCGCTTAAGATTCTCTCCCCACCCCCTGCCCCCTGCCTCTTTCTCCTGCTTACACTCTCTCTCAAATTAAAAAAAAAATATGCAAATAAATAAAATTTAAAAATCCTCATCTATAATAATAAGCTCATCACACTATTAAAATATTCTAGAGCGGCTATGAATTATTGATAATGAGATGATAATTGATACTAAGAGGCAAATGAAATTTATTATGGAATCTCTCTATATTAATTTTCATATTTTCTTATATTTGTCAGTGTCATTTAGCTGCATTTAAAGTGCTCAGTGGTCGGGGCGCCTGGGTGGCACAGTCGGTTGAGCGTCCGACTTCAGCCAGGTCACGATCTCACGGTCCGTGAGTTCGAGCCCCGTGTCGGGCTCTGGGCTGATGGCTCAGAGCTTGGAGCCTGTTTCCGATTCTGTGTCTCCCTCTCTCTCTGCCCCTCGCCCGTTCACGCTCTGTCTCTCTCTGTCCCAAAAATGAATAAACGTTGAAAAAAAAAATTAAAAAAAATAAATAAATAAAGTGCTCAGTGGTTAACTAGCCTGCTCAGGACACTAGCTCTCCCGATTTCCTCTTTAAATTAAATTTTTTTTCTATTTACTGATAAACTTCTTATTGATAATGTTCTTTGTGTGAAGCTATGTGTTGAGTACGGTGAAGAATTTAAACGTTAACAGTGTGGTCCGTACCATCAAGAAGGTTATAATAGAATTGAGGATTTAGGGCATCCATAGAAATAATCACCAAAGCAGTACCTAAGTGTGGTAAAGTCCTGAAGACAGTAGCATAGATGCACAGCACAGCTTACTTACGCGGGTTGGCATAGACTGGGAAAGGCATGAGGTAGAAATCTCTGTGCAGGAGGTCTCAGTCACGTTGAGACTGAAGATGAATAGGGTCATTACAAGTGGGAAGGAAGAACATTTCAGGTTGGTAATAATGGGAATGAAGTCTCAAAGGCAAATAAGGACAGGAATCCTTTGAATATGGAATTTTCTTTTCCTGTCGGTAGACATTCATTTAGAGTTCTGAACAGGAAGTGACATCATTGGTTTTTTTGTTCATGCATTCATTCTTTGAGTGGCCATTTATTATGTGCCTCCTCTGTAGCAGAAACAGGGCCAGGTATTGGAACTAAGATGTGTAGGGACCTTTAGGGTTTTTTTTTTAAAATTGGGGTAAAATTCACATAACAGAAATTTGGTCATTAAAAAATATACAGTTCAGTGGCTGTCTTAGGGTGGGCTGCCATAATAAAGTATAGTAGTCTAGGTGGCTTAAATAGCAGAAGTGAATTAATCTCTCACAGTTCTGGAGGCCAGGAAGTCCAACATTAGGATGCCATCCAATTCAGTTCCTGGTCAGGCTGTCTTTCTGGCGTGCAGATGGCGATCTTCTTTTTGTGCCCTCATATCACTTTTCCTTGGTGTGTGCACATGGGAAGAGAGAAATCTCTTTTTCTCTCTTCCTCTCTTCCTCGGTAAAGCCATTAATCCCACCCTCAGGACCTTATCTTAACCCTGATTAAATAACATCACATTAGGGCTTAGACTTCAGCACAGGAAGTCTGCAGGTTATTCAGTCCATGACAGTGTTGTTCAGTATACTGACAGTGTTGTGCAGCCATCAGCTCTGTCTAGTGCTGAGATGTTTTCATCACCCCAAAAGAAAACTCCATACACAGTGATTCCTGATTCCCCCCCTCCCCCAGCCCTGGCAGTCAGCAGTCTGCTTTCTGCCTCTTGGGATTTACCTGTCTGGGACATTTCATATAAATGGTCTTGTACAGGGAGTAGCCTTTCACTTATCAAGATAGTTTTGATTCATGCATGTTGTAGCATGTATCATTATTACTTCCTTCCTTTCTGTGATTGAGCGGACTTTCAATTTTAAGGTAGCAAAGTAAAACGGATATACCTCCTCCGCAGTCAGTAAAGGAGCAAGAAGGACAAGAAAACCAAAACACACTTAACCGTGTTTGGTCTCTAATCCACAACTGTAATGTCTGAGGAATGTCTGTCTAAAGCAGCAAAGGCCAAACAGGAATGTGGGAAGAAGCCAAGGAAGGGTGCCCACAGTTACAGATCTCAAGACCAAGTATCAAGTGACAGTTCTGAAAATAGGGCACAATGGGAATGGCGTGCTACACAGGCAGGCCTTGAGAGCTTCTCCTGTCTGGGGTCGGTTCCAAGGAGGAGCATGTGAGGCAAACACAAAATTGAATGGACACTGCTGAAGACATAGGAAGGGGCATGAAAACATGAAGGGACATTGGGAATTTATTTTTAAAGGAAAAGGAAATGGTTATAAACAGAATGATAGCAAGGATTAGAGAAAAAAATGATTGGCCTGGGAAATAAGGCTAAAATTCCTAATTGGTGTTCTCAAAGAAGGAGACTGAATGATGGATTAGAAAAAATCATTTGGTGAATGTGATCTGCATAGTGATTAGGGTACATCTTGTTCTTCATTATGAAATGTAGAATACTCACCTACCTACCTCTGCCTTCAGAAATCGTCTTGTTAGAACAGAAGACACACAAGCACAGTTACAAGCTGAGGAGAGAGAGGTAGGGAGGGAAAGATTCATGGTACAGGAAAGTCAGGGGGTCAATTGCTCAATCAAGGTGATGGAGAAGGAAAGCATAAACAGGGAAGGAAAGGAGGTTGGTGGTGATACAGAATTGCAGCTTTAGAAAGATTATTCTACAGGTGGTGTTCAGTGTTTTGAATGCCATGACGTGGTATTTGTCATGGAGGGGAGAGTATGTTAGCAAAGAACTTAGGATTTTTTTTTAATTGAGATAAAATTGGTAGATAGTACTGTATTAGTTTCAGGTGTACAGCATAATTCAGTGTTTGCATACACTACAAAGTGATCACTGTGGTAGGTCCAGTTACCATCCATCACCATACAGTTGACCCCCTTCACTCTTTTCTCCCACCCCCAAACTCCCTTTCTCTTTGGTAACCCCCCATTCTCTTTCTATATCTGTGAGTTTTGTTTTGTTTTTATTCCATATATAAGTGAAATCAGATGATATATGTCTGTTTGACTTGTTTTACTTAGCATAATACCCTCAAGGTCCATCCGTGTTGTTGCAAATGATTTCCTTCTTTTTTATGGCTGAATAATAATGCATTTTCTTTATCCAGTCATCCACCGAGAGACACTTAGGTTGTTTGCATGTCTTGGCTATTGTAAACAATGCTGTAATGAACATGGGGGTACAGATATCTTTTTGAAAAATTTTGTTTTCTTGGGTAAATGTCCAGAAGTGGAATTGGTGGGTCATCTGGCAGTTTTGTTTTATTTTGTTTTGTTATGTTTTTGAGGGACCTCTATACTGTTCTTCTGTAGTGGCTACACCAATTTACATTCCTCCTGACAGTGTGTGAGGGTTCCCTATTCTCCACAACCTCTCCAACACTTGTTATTCCTTGTCTTTTTGATAATAGTCATTTTGACAGGTGTGAGATGACATCTCATGTGGTTTTGATTCGCATTTCTGTGATGATTAATGATGATGAGCATCTCATGTGCCTGTTGACCATCTGTACAGCTGCTTTGCAAAAATGTCTACTCAGATCTTCTGCTCTATTTTTTAATCAGATTGTTTTATGTTGCATTGTATGAGTTTTTTATATATTTTAGAAACTAGCCCATTATCAGATACGTGATTTGCAAATATCTTCTCTCATTGCAAAGGTTGTCTTTTTACTTTGTTGATAGTCTCCTTCACTGTGCAGAAGCTTTGTAGTTTGATATAATCCCATTTGTTTGTTTTTTCTTTCATTATTCTTGCCTTTGGAATCAGTTCCAGAAAGCAGTGTTCCATGAGTCATGTCAGTGAGCCTAGTCAGTGATGTTTCTGATAGGAGTTTCATGGTTTTAGGCCTGCATTCAAGTCTTTAATCTGTTTTGAGCTAATTTTTACATATGGTGTAAGAAGAGAGTGTGTTGTAGACTCTAGGTCTGGAGTTCTCTCTTGTCCAGCAAGAGAGCGGGACTCAGGGTTGAAAATGTGAGAGAGGCTAATACCCAGGAGGAGACAAGAGCCCTGAGTAAGGGTCCTTGCTCCCTTTTTTATTAGGATCAGAATGCTTACAAGTGTGATGGGCATGGACAGACTGTCAGTGAAACCGTGAACTTTAACTCATGGGCTCATGGGCATGGGGAAGAGGGGGTTTTGGAGATATGCGGTGTTAGGGGTTTGGGTCAATACAAGACAAGATTCTGGTGCAGGGTGGAAAGTTGTTTATAGCAAACATGAGGCCCCACCTCTGTTTACCTAAACTAGCCAAGGTGACAAGAAAGACAGAGCATGCTACCTCAGGGTCAACAAGACATCTTTCTTTTGCTAATTAGCTCCACTCCGGGCAACTGGCCCTGCTGTGGTCTATAGCTCTATTTACCTGTTTACTTAATTGGTCCTTCCTTCTTGTGAAAGCAGCTTTCTGCTATTGTCCTATGCCTTTGCCCTTTACTGGGGACCTTTGCCCCCTTTACCTAATCTTATTTACCTACTCTTGTTTACCCAAACTTGGGTGTGTTCATCCTACGGCTTTCTAATTCTTTATGCCTTGTTAAGCCATCAGTGCAGGCTCAGGGAATTCCTAAGCTCGTTCCCTGCAAGAGTGGTCCAGTTTCATTCTTTTGCATGTGCAGTTTTCTAGCACCATTTATTGAGGAGACTTTTTCTCCATTGTGTATTTTTGTTTTATTTGTTGTAAATGAGTTGACCATATAAGTGTGGGTTTGTTCCTGGGCTCTATTCTGTTCCATTCATCTGTGCCTGTTTTTATGCCAATAATACTGCTTTGATTACTATAGCCTTGTAGTATAGTTTGAAATCAGGGAGCACGATACCTCCAGCTTTGTGCTTCTTTCTCTCAAGTCTGCTTTGGCTATTCAGGGTCTTTTGTGGTTCCATATAAATTTTAGAATTATTCTAGTTCTGTGAAAAATGCTATTGGAATTTTGATAGGAACTGCATTGAATTTGAAGGTTGCTTTGTGTAATATGGACATTTTAACAATATTAATTTTTCCAATCCAATTCTGATCATGGAATACTTTTCCACTGAATTATGTCTTTTGTTTCTTGCATCAGTGTCTTATAGTTTTCAGTGTACGAGTCTTTCACCTTCTTGGTTAAATTTGTTCCTAGGACTGAGTCTCTCTCTCTCTCTCAAAATAAAGAAACATTAAATTTAAAAAAAAAATTTTTTTTTAATTTTTTTTAATGTTTTATTCAATTTTTGAGGGGGGGAGAGAGACAGAGACAGAGACAGAGAGTGAGTGGGGGAGGGGCAGAGAGAGAGGGAGACACAGAATCCGAAGCAGGCTCCAGGCTCTGAGCTGTCAGCACAGAGCCCGATGCGGGGCTCAAACCCACGAACTATGAGATTGTGACCTGAGCCGAAGTCGGACGCTTAACCGACTGAGCCACCCAGGCGCCCCCCCCAAAAATTTTTTTTTTAAAAAGGGGCGCCTGGGTGGCTCAGTTGGTTGAGCATCCATCATGACTTCGGCTCAGGTCATGATCTCACACTTGTGAGTTCTAGCCCCACGTATGGCTCTGTGCTGACAGCTCAGAGCCTGGAGCCTGCTTCGGATTCTGTGTCTCCCTCTCTCTCTGCCTCTCCCCTTCTTGTGCTCTCTCTCTCTCTCTCTCTCTCTCTCTCTCTATCTCAAAATAAATAAACATTAAATTAAAAAAATTTTTTTTAATTTATTCCTAGGTATTCTTTTTGATGCCATCATGAATGGGATTGTTTTCTTAATTTCTCCTTCTACTGGCTAATTATTAGTACTGTATAGAAATGCAACTAATTTCTGTATATTGCTTTTGTATCCTGCAGTTTACTTTACTGAATCAAGTTCTTGGTTCTAAAAGGTATTTAGTGTCCTCGTGGTCACAGGCAGGAAGGGCACGGGCAGGAAGGAAACTTGGGGAGTTCTGGTTTGCATTTATACTACAGATTTCAAATGTGCCACCGAACGTTTCCTTTGAAAATAGTGTTGAAAATCATGACTTTTCATAGTTTCTCTGCTTCTCGTTTTAAAGTAACATTTGAGGATAAGAAGCGTGAGAATTTTGAGCGTGGCAACCTGGAACTGGAGAAGCGGAGGCAGGCTCTCCTGGAACAGCAGCGCAAAGAGCAGGAGCGCCTGGCCCAGCTCGAGCGCGCGGAGCAGGAGAGGAAAGAGCGGGAGCGCCAGGAGCAGGAGCGCAAGAGACAACTGGAGCTGGAGAAGCAACTGGAAAAGCAGCGGGAACTCGAACGGCAGAGAGAGGAGGAGAGGAGGAAGGAAATCGAGAGACGGGAGGTAAGCAGCCACGGAGCCACCCCCACAGTCAGCGCGTGTGGCTTGCTCCCCTTCTCTCTTAATTGGTCAGGTGGCAGGTTAACACAGTCTCCTTCCTTTTACAGTTGCGAACTTTTAGTATGTTCACCAAGCTATGTGACCCTGACCTCTGTCTGATTCCAGAGCACGTTCCTCACCCCAAGAAGAACTCTCTTCCCCATTAAGCAGTTACTTCCCATCCGCCTCTCCCTGCCCTTAACAGCCACTCATTTATTTGTTTTCTGTGTCCACAGGTTGGCCTGTTGTGGACATTTCACAAGTGGGATCATATACCATGTGCCCTTCTGTGTCTGGCTTCCACTTAGCTTGTTTTCAAGTCCCAAGTTGTAGCGTGAATCAATACTTTATTCCTTTTTATGACCGGATAATACTCCAGTACACGGATGTACCACATTGTATTTATCCATTCATGAGTTGATGGACGTTTGAGTTGTTTTCAACTTTTTTGACTGTTATGAATAATGCTGCTAAGAACATTCACACTCAAGGGGCGCCTGGGTGGCTCAGTTGGTTAAGCGCCCGACTCTTGCTTTCAGTTCTGGTCACCATCTCGTGGTTCATGAGATTGAGCCCCCCCTTCGGGTGCTGTGCTGACAGTACGGAGCCTGCTTGGGGTTCCCTCTCTCTGTCTCTCTCCCTCCCTCCCTCCCCCTCCCCCATTTACATTTGCGCGCTCTCAAAATAAATAAAAACTAAAATATATACATATATTTATAACTATATGTATATATACACATATATATATAAAAATATTTACACTCAAGCTTTTGATAATTCAGTCTCTTAACAAAAACCACTGATATTTGTTGAGAATTTTTCAGACTTTCTTCTCTGCATTTAAAAATGTATGTAGCAATATAAAAGGTTATATATGGTTGGAGAGGTTGGGGATTTAGTGCAATTTTTTTTTAAAGCCCTGTAATGATCTCATACTAATTATATTGTCTGTGCCCTTTTTTTTCCACTTTAAAAAAACATGTGTGGGAAATCTTCAATATATTGGATGAAAGGCCTCATCAATTTGGTGCCATACTGGATAAGGGCTAAGCCAGTCTTTTGTCCGAATTTCCAGTTAAGCACATTGCTACTGAGGCAATGCCATGATTCTTTTGTGTGAATGAAATCTATTTTATAGATGGGAGATTTTCCTTTATAAAAACACAAAACACAATACTTTGGTTTCATCTCCTTTTATTGCTTCAGAAAATTTAGGGCAGTAAGCCTCTGTTCAGGCAGAGACACACAGATACCAACAGGGTTTTAATTTCCAGAATGGACAGCCAAAGGACTCAATGCCTTCCTTTCCTCCGTGTTTTTTTTTTTTTCCCAAGACACTTTAGAGTATTTATTAAGAACTATTTAATAGGCATTTACCAGGTACCAGGCATTGATAGTCCCTAGAGATACAGTGACGGATAGTATTCCACCTGTCCTCTGGCCTGTAAAAGGGTAGTTGGAGTAAGTAGCAATTACAGTAAAGAGTGCCAGGTGCTCTTTACCCAGCAGCCATCAGAGTCAGCTCTGAGGAGGGCTGACGTTGCCACAGAAATTACAGAAGCTTCTGTGGTAAAAGAAGATGAATGATTAGGGGGCTGGAGGGCAACAAATTTTAAGACTTGAGGTAAATAATTTCTTTTTGGGTAGAAGAAAGTTTTGTTTTGGGGGGATATTTCTTGTTTTTTCTTTTTGTTCTAGGGGTTTGGATTTTGATTTTACTAGATTTTACTAGATTTTTCCTTACCCTCCATGAGTCAGTAAATAAGGAAGAAAGGTTATTTTTTTTTATCACTTCAAGCACTCTTGAAGGCACAAACAATCAAATTGCAACGATGACATGAATCCTGTCCTCATCTTATCTAATAGCCTTTCTAAATATTCTTTTTTTTTTTCCATAGAAGGAATACTACATTTGTATAAATTTTGTGTTGCTATTTTGTAATAGAATTTCTTGCAGTGTGTAACATTTTATCCCTGAAAGAAAAGACTTCCTAGATGTTATGTTTATTAAGAGACATTGTATAAAGTAAGAACTAAAAAATTAATAAGCTGTCTGTTTGTAAATGTCACAGGCTGCAAAACGAGAACTTGAAAGGCAACGACAACTTGAATGGGAACGGAATCGAAGACAAGAACTACTCAATCAAAGAAACAAAGAACAAGAAGACATAGTTGTACTGAAAGCAAAGAAAAAGACTCTGGAATTTGAATTAGAAGCTCTAGTGAGTGAAGTTTGATTATGCTTTGGGAATACAGTTGACCCTGCGCAGTCAGAACTCTGTAACTCCTGACTCCCCTAACACATAACTACTAGTAGCCTACTGTTGACTGGAAGCCTTACTGATAACACAAATAGTTGATTAACACATATTTCATATGTTATATTTATCATATACTGCATTCTTTTAATAACGTAAGCTAGAGGAAAGAAAATCATAAAGAGGAGAAAATGCATTTACAGTACTGTACTGTTATTGAAAAACATTTTTTTTAACTTTATTTATTTTGAGAGAGACAGCGCAATGAGGGAAGGACAGAGAGAGCGGGAGACAGAGAATCCCAAGCAGGCTCTGCACTGTCAACTTGGAGCCCGATGTGGGGCTCAAACTCATGAAACCATGAGATCGTGACCTGAGCCCAAACCAAGAGTAGGATGCTTAACCGACTGAGCCACCCATGTGCCCCAGTACTGTACTGTTATTTATCGAAAAAAATCCGTGTGTATGTGGACCCCTGGAGTTCACCCTCGTGTTGTTCAAGGGTCAGCTGTACAGTAACACTGAACCATTAAAAATGGTAATAATAATAATTTTTCATGTGTTAAAGAATGATAAAAAGCATCAACTAGAAGGAAAACTTCAAGATATCAGATGTCGATTGACCACCCAAAGGCAAGAAATTGAGAGTACGAACAAATCCAGAGAGTTGAGGATTGCAGAAATCACCCATCTACAGCAACAGTTACAGGTGAGAAAACACATCCCTTAACAGCTTTTTGGCTTTCCCTGCTTTTCCTCTGATTCATTTCACTCATTTATTCCTACAAGCACCCAGCCTCCATGAGGTACTGGGCTCTGGGGAGCAAATACGAAGTTGACAAAGCCCTGGTCTGAAAAGGAGTCTGTCAAGGAAACAAACTCAACATGCTTGCTGAGCATTGCTGCGTGCCAGGCCAGACGCGCTCAGAGGCGCTGAGGGTCCAGCAGTGAGCGGAGATGAGAGCCCCCACTTCACGGAGCTTACCTTCTATCTGCAGGGCAGGACACCGACAAAAGAAGTCAAGTGTGTACTCTTAGAGTATGAGAGTGAGTAGGAAACAGAGTCCTGGAGAGAAGGAGGGCAGTTATTTATTATTTTTTTTTTGTAAGATTTTATTTTTGGGGTACCCGGATTGGCTTAGTTGGTTTGAGTGTCCGACTCTTGATTTTGGCTCAGGTCATGATCCCAAGGTTGTGGGATCAAGCCTTCATCAGGCTCTTTACTAAGCATGGAACCTGCTTAAGATTCTCTTTCTCTTTCTCTCTCTCCCTCTCTCCTTCCCCCCCTCCACCCCTCTCCCCCACTCACACTCTCTCAATAAAAATACAATAATACAATACAACAAAAATTATTTTATTTTATATTATTTCAAGTAATCGCTACACCCGAGGTGGGGCTTGAACTCAAAACCCCAGGATCAAGAGTCATACATTCCACCAACTGAGCCAGCCAGGCGCCTGCAAGGGCAGTTTTTTAAATTAGGTGGTCAGGACGGGCTTCCCTGTAAGGGTCCATTTGAGCAAAGACTTGAAAGGGAGAAGCGGTTAAGCTGTGTGGCTTTCTGGCAGAACGAGCTGTAGGTACGGAGACAGCGGTGTGAGAGCTGTGAGGCTATAGCCCGTGTTTGGGATGTGCTTACAGCAAGGAGGCCGCTGTGGTTGGAGCAGGCAGGGACTGGATCACCTGGGACGTGTAGTTCACTCATGAGACTTTGACTTTACCGTGATCATCACAATAAGGGAGTGCGGCTCAGTATTTTAACGGGAGTATGATTGAGAATTATACTGAATAGTTGGGGACATAATGGAATGCTATCAGCAGTTCTGCTTCCGTTTATTAGGTATCCAGAGTTGCCCACCAAGTTGCATAATATCACCTGGTTTGGTTTCACTTGTTGAACTGGGGGCAGGGGATGTCAAATTCATGTAGATGCTGTTCTGCTTGTCATCATGAAAGATGATCATTTTTGAGGTTTGTGACTTTCCTCAGCCTGATGATTTGAGATTTATCCATACTTGTGAGCAGATCAGTAGGTTGTTTGTTTTCATCCCTAAGTAGTATTTCCTGTTGATTGACATTTGGGTTCTTTCCAGTTTGGAACTTTTATGCATAAAACTGCAATGGGTATTTATTTGCAAGTCTTGATGTGGAAATATGTTTTATTTCTCTTATTTGTGTATTAACTTTTAGGAATGGAATTACCGTGTCCTATAAATATAGGCTAACCCTACTGGAGACCGTCAGACTGTTTCCAGGGTGGTTGTACCATTTTACTTTCTTTCTACATTTTACACTTTACATGTGTGAGTGCTTCAGTAGTTTCTCATCCTGGCCAACACTTGCTTTGTCATTATTTGTAATGAATATTTCTGATGGATGTGTCACAGTATCTCATGTGGCTTTAATTTGCATATCCCTGAAAGCTAGTGGTGTTGGGCCTCACTTCATACGTGTATTGGTATGTATCTTCTTGTGTGTGTCTTTTGTGAACAGATCTTTTGCCCATTTTTTGTTGGGTTATTTACCTTACTGTGGAACTGTAAAGAGTTCTTTATATATTTTTGTATCAAGTCCTTTGTCAGATATTTTTACCTTCCCTTATAGCTTCCATTTTTGTAATGGTGTTTTTTGAGAAGTTTTAAGTTGTCGGGAAGTTCAGTTTATTAATTTTTTCTTTTATGGCTTACGTTTTTTTGTGTTCTAAGAAATCTTTGGCCATCCCAAGGTTGCAGACATTTTCTCTTAACGTTTTCTTCCAGGATTTTTACAGTTTTCTCTTTTATGTTTAAATCTGTAATCCATTTCACATTGATTTTTATGAAAGTGTAAAGTAAGGGGTGAGGTTCATCTTTTTTTTTTCCATACCAATACCCAATTGTTGTAGCAACATTTATAGAAAACACTGTCATTTTCCCTTATTGAATTACCTTGGTTGTTGAAAATCAGTTAATGTGAAATCTTCAGTAGTATTCTTTTTTCAAATTATTTTGGCTATTTTACATCCTTTACATTTCCACGTAAGTGTTAGAATTTGCTTGTCAGTTTTTACAAAAGATACTTAGAATTTTGATTGGTGTTTCATTGAATTTATAGATCAATTTGGGAAGAATTGACATCTTAATAATATTGAGTCTTATGCTATATTTCTCGATTTTATTCAGGTTATATTATAGTTTTCAATGTATACGTTTTGTGTATATTTCACAAAGTTTATCCCTGTTTTGTGGTTTTTTGACTCTATTGTATATTGCATATTTTTACTTCAGTTTCCAATTGATGCCAGTATATAGAGACAGAATTTTTACGTGTCAACCTTATATCTACAATATTGCTTAACTCATTTTTGGCTTCCTTAGAGTTCCTATGTATAAAATATATGGTCTGTGAATAGAGACAGCTTTATTGCTTCCTTTCTAACCTATGTACTTTTCATTTCTTCATCTTAATTGCACTGATCACAGCCTCTAGTACTATGTTAAATAGAAGTGGTGAGAGTCTCCATCTTAAGGGGAAAGCATTCAATTTCTGACTATTAAGTATGATGTTAACTATAGGTGTTTTTGTTAGATTCCCTTGATCAAGTTGAGGGACTTCCTTCCTGTTCCTTTTTCGCTGAGAGTTTTAGTCATGAATGGGTGTTGAACTGGTTCATAACTTTTTTTTTCTGCATCTACTGAGATGTTCACACTTTTTTCTCCTTTATTTTGTTCATATGGTGATTTATGTTGATTAAAATTTGAATGTTAAACCAACCTTCTATTCCTGAGATAAAACCATATTTGGTCATGGTGTATTGTCATTTAAAAAAATATTTAACTTGATTCAATTTGCTATTACTATCTTTCACTTAAGTTCATGAAAGATATTGGTTTATAGTTTTCTTGTAATATCCTTACCTAGTTTTGTTATCAGGGTAATAAATGAGAAAATAGTTGGAGAGTATTCTTTCCTCTGTTTTCTAAAAAAGTTTGTATTGAAATGGTGTCTTTTCTTTAAGTTTTTCATTCATCAGTGAAATAAATCATCTGGGCCTGGAGTCTTTTTCTTTCTTTCTTTCTTTCTTTCTTTCTTTCTTTCTTTCTTTCTTTTTTTTTTTTTTTTGACTTTTATTTTAGAAAGAGAGAGCTGGGGAGGGGGCAGAGGGAGAGAGAGAATCTCAGGCAGGCCTCACACTCAGCAAAGAACCCAACTTGGGACTCTATCCCAGGACCCTGGGATCATGACCTGAGCCAAAATCGTGAGTTGAACACTCAACTGACTGAGCCACCCAGGCGCCCCTTGTGGTAGGACTTTTAATTGCAAAAATGTATTTAATAAATATAGGGGTATTTACATTTTCTGCTTCATCTTGAGTCTAATGATTTGTATCTTTCAGTGATTTTTTTCCTTTCATCCAAGTTGTCAAATTCATTTGTATAAAGTTGTTTTATAATATTTTCTTATTCTTTGCAAGTCTGTAGTATCTATAGTGATGTCACTTTTTTCATTCCTGATCATGGGAATTTGTATCTTCTCTACCCCTTCCGATTTTTCCTTTTTCCCTTTCTTTCCTTTCTCATCCTCCTCTTCTCTATCAATCTAACTAGAAGTTTATTGGTTTCATTGATTTTTTTTTGAGATAAGCTTTTGGTTGTATTGATTTTTCTTTATGGTTTATCTGTTTTCTGTTTCATTTACTTATACTCTTTATTATTTCCTTCCACCTACTTATTTTGGCTATAATTTCCTTTTTTCTAGCTTCATAAAAAGGAAGCTTAGATTACTGAACTTGAACCTTTTTTCATTTTTGATATAAACATTTTAAGGTATAAATTTCCTTCTAAGCATTATCATAGCCATATTTCACAAATTTTTAATGTGTTTTCATATTCATTCAATTCAAAAGCCTTTTTATTTCCTTGGTAATTTCTTCTTTATTTAGGATTATGCTGTTTAGTTTCCAGATATTTGGATTGTTTCCCATATATTGTACTGATTTCTGATTTATTTGTATTATAAACTGTGAGCATAGTATGTATAATTTCAATTCTTATTAATCTTTTTGAGTTTACTGTGACTTATTTTATGACTCAGCATATGATCTATGTTGGTGATTATTTTATGTGCACTTGTAAAGAATGTGCACTCTGTTGTAGTTGGGTGGAGTGTCCCATAAACGTCAATCAGAGCAAATTGATTCATGGTGTTTTTTGTGTTTTCTCTGTCCTTACTGATTTTGTGACGTCTTCCAGCGCTTGCAAGAAGGGTGTTGAAAGCTCTAGCATTATAAATGTTTCCATTTTCTTCCCAGTTCTGTCAGTTATTTTTTCATGTACTATGAAGTCCTAATCGATTTGAGATATTAGGATATGACATACAATGTAAATAGTATCAGATGTTCACTGCTAGAAGTTGTTTGAACATATTAAAAAATGCATGTACCTTTTAAAAGTATATACTGCTATATGGTAACTTTTTTTTATATATGTCTTTCATTAACTGTGAGAAGTTTCATAAAATATTCTTTTGGAAAATTTAGGAGTGAAGGCCATGTGTTTATTATCTCACCGAATGCTCTGTGACCAAACACATTTTTATTATTGAAGTTTGATACTTAGTATGTTCACTTATTGATAATAAAATACAAATCAGGGTTCCTGAAAAAGTAGTGAAGTGGAAGATAACACATGGTTTGAAGTAGGCCATGTATATCACAGGTTATGAGATGTTGGTTCCCTTTCCTTACTGGAAATTAGCAAATATTTGCTATGTAGCTGAGTCAGGTGGCCTTTCATATTAGTTTGACTTATTTCAGAAACTTAGGTTGGCATTTAAAAGTGATGTTGAGGGGCGCCTGGGTGGCGCAGTCGGTTAAGCGTCCGACTTCAGCCAGGTCACGATCTCGCGGTCCGTGAGTTCGAGCCCCGCATCAGGCTCTGGGCTGATGGCTCAGAGCCTGGAGCCTGTTTCCGATTCTGTGTCTCCCTCTCTCTCTGCCCCTCGCCCGTTCATGCTCTGTCTCTCTCTGTCCCAAAAATAAATAAACGTTGAAAAAAAAAAATTAAAAGTGATGTTGATATAAGTAAAATAGTCTCTGATCCGAGCTAGGCTTTATCTTGATGCATCATTGTTTATCTTGGTTCAGGAAAGAAACTTTGGGATTGGGTAAAGTAAAGGGCCTTTCCTCAGTTGAGGGAGGAGAATAGGAAAAGCTCAGTTGGCTGGCCCTTTCTGGGGAAACAGTCTGAATTGTATATTCTTTTTTGTCCAGATTTGGGGAAAGGGATATGGATTATTCATATGAGAAGATGCTTCCAGATCCTCTCTGTTGAGCTAAATCTCTCTACGATTCAGACTTGGAGCACACAGAAATTTATTGTATATAAGCCAGTCTGTATCTAAGGATGGTTGTTCCAAAAAGACTGTTCCTTAGCCTGTGATGAAGATTTTCAATTAAGGCATTTTTATTTTTTGATACCAAAATTCAATGCAAAGAGATTTTATTTTCAAGTTTTTATTTAAATTCCAGTTAGTTAACATATAGTGTAATGTTAGTTTCAGATGTAGAATTTAGTGATTCATCACTTACAACACCCAGTGCTCAAGGTAAAAATGAACAACTATTTGTTATTCTGTGCTGGAAAGGCTGTTACTTACTGAAATGTGTAGAAACGACATAGGATAATTTCAGTTGAAAAGCAACTCCAGGGGCGCCTGGGTGGCGCAGTCGGTTAAGCGTCTGGCTTCAGCCAGGTCACGATCTCGCGGTCCGTGAGTTCGAGCCCTGCGTCGGGCTCTGGGCTGATGGCTCGGAGCCTGGAGCCTGTTTCCGATTCTGTGTCTCCCTCTCTCTCTGCCCCTTGCCTGTACATGCTCTGTCTCTCTCTGTCTCAAAAATAAATAAACGTTGAAAAAAAAAAAAAAGAAAAGCAACTCCAGTGCCTAATGGGTCATCCACAGATACTCAAATAGCCTTTGAGTGGGTTAGCTTTTTTCTTATATCAGTTAAAAAATAGTTGGTTCAAGACTTTTGTGTACCTGTTTAAAATTGTAGGTCCATCCTCAGTGGTTGGAAAACATATATGGCAGCCAAGATTCTGTTGTTAGGAATCTCATTTTGATGTCTGTTTCCATCTTCAGGTGTATGGTAAACCTCACTTCAGCCCTGTGAAATATCCAAGTTCAGAATAGAGTCGTTCCTGTTCAAACCACTGAGTCAGTTTACAAACAAGGTCCCTGTGTTTACATTTGATCCCAGTGCAAGGGAGAGATCATTCCTTTCAGTTTTCTCTGCTGAGTTGTACTTAGAGTACTTTTTTTTCAAGCTTATAAATAGACAGTAAGTCAACAAAAATTTAAGAAATGTCAAGAGAGCCATAACTGTCTTAGCTTTATTTCAGTGAAAAGCATTTGGCAAATAGTTAATTGCTTGGCAAGAAAGCAGGCGCTGCCCTGACTGATTAGATGCAGTTTCAACATACAGGATTTGGGGATGAGATTAGATGAATCTTTGAGGGATGAGAAAGCAGAGTTCTGTCTGCTTGGCCAGAACATAGGTTTCGTAGGTTTCCTTGTCATTTCATTGTTGTTTTCCTCCTTCTCTCCTAGGAGGCTCAGCAAATGCTTGGAAGACTTATTCCAGAGAAGCAGATACTCAATGACCAATTAAAACAAGTTCAGCAAAACAGTTTACACAGTAGGTGTTTTCTTTTTCAAATTGGCCTTTATCCTTTCCTAATGGTAAGAATTTCCTCCAGTGTAATGAGACCATTTAAAACGCGTTTTCCTCACTGCCAGTTTGCTTTTCTTACCTTGCCATGTTTTTCTAAAATAGGAGATTCACTTCTGACACTCAAAAGAGCGTTAGAAGCAAAAGAAGTGGCTCGTCAGCAGCTCCGAGACCAACTGGATGAAGTTGAGAAAGAAACCAGGTCGAAACTACAGGAGATTGATATTTTCAATAATCAGCTGAAGGTAACTATCCATTGTGTTCCTACGTCTACGTCCTACCCTTTAATTTTTCTAACTGGCCAGATGATTAGTTGATATTTAGTCCCAGGTAGAAAAACTTATTATGCTGGTTTGTCCGCCTTCCTGAAAGCCTTCATACTTACCCTGCAATTTGAATTGCACTTGTCTCTTTAACATATAAAGATGAATTTGGTGTTTGTTAAATGAAAGCTGAGGGAGGGGCCGCCTCATGACACCTGTCTTCAACCTGAATTACATTTTTATACATCTCCATCCTTTTGTCTGTTGCACACTACATCAAGTCGGAGTCCAGAAGCTAGGCTCCAAAAGAGTCTGTCTTTTGTTCTTTGAAGACGACTAGAAAGGGATTGTTTTCCCTTTGAAAACTACGAATTGTTCTGCCACTTCTTACCTTCAAGATTGTCCTTGAATGGGAGTCTTTATTTTGTTACTTCACATTTTAAAGTGTTATTATTTAATGGAGTAATGGCTTTTGCCCCTGTGGCAGAAGTGGTAGATGGTTTTGTCACGTTTACATCATAGAATTTAGGAAAATGCCAAAGCACTTAAGGAATGTAAAAGTGGTTATGACAGCCTCCTTGTGATTGGTGCCTTTGATTTAACTTCAGTTTTATCATCTTAAGACTGTTACAAGAAAACCAGAGTGCAAGGCAGTTAATTTCCTACCAACAATGAGCATATACTGTAGATTTAAGTAAATACTGGAATTTTTAGTCAATTATATTCTCATAATAAATGGACCATACTTTTCATTTTCATTTCCCATCTCAAAATCCTTTATACTTAATTCTGATTTTGCTTTTGGCACTAGGAAAAAGTAAAACTCCTTTATTATTAAAAAGAGGGAAAAAACCCAGGAAGACTATTTAAGATTTTAGTTGGCCTTTGGAATGAGATTCTAAGCCATATTGTTCAGACATCTGAGTCTGAGGTATTTGCGTCTCCCCCTCACCCCCGCCTCCCCAGAGTAATAGGTAATGAACTTTTCTCAACCAACTAAGTGTTTTTCTTTGCTTTGATTCTTACACAGAATATGTACTTGTGTGTGGGGGTCTATATGTATGTTCCATACTTGTACGTATATCACTGTATGTGATATATAAGTACTGGGAGTAGAGCTGTAAGTTCTCCCTCTCTAGAATAAGCCCAATAAAAATGCTCACATTAACTCTCACTGTAACTTGTCACTATTTCAAGCAAAAAGAATATGATTACAGTGCTTTTTAGTAGTCTCTTAGAATATAAACTGTTAAATGTTCAGGTATCTTCTGAACCCCAGGCAGTAGTCCAGATTTCTGCCTTGATCTTAGGATTCCTTTCTCTAGAAATTGGACTCCCAAAACAAAGTTCATGTATTAGAGGATGACCCTGCAGTGGATGATTTTTTCCCAAATGCCGAGTCTATTTATGGATCATTTTGGCCGTTGAATTGCTGTTGCCATCACTGAGTCCCTGTTACTGTGTTTGATTAATGCTGCCTTTACTGTTAGAGTTGCTGATACAAAGTCTAACTTTAGCCCTTTATCCCATTTTATTCCTTTTCCCAAATATATTCATTTTTAAATAAGAATATTTCTTTCTGTCTTCATTTTTATTTTGGTTTTCCATTATTAACTTTAGTGTAGAGAGTAAAAAAATTACAGGCCAGTATAGCTTTACTGTTTTATTTAACGACTGATTTGGAGAACTCGACAAATATGTTTTATTGCCTTACGGTTATTATTTCTGGTATTCCTCTCATGCCTGGTGAAACCACAACAGAAACAGTTAAATCGAACAATCAAAGGGTTTATAATTTGATTGAGACAACTCCAGAGGCAGATTTAAGACTTCGTCTCTTGAGTATCTCCTGCCTACTTTTCTTTGTTGTAGTCACATTGGAAAATATGAAGCATTTTTTCCCTGACTTTAGAGCATGTATTCTTTAGTAACTATAACTCTTGTATGATGAGATGGACCAGGAGAGCCAGCATTCGGACCCCTGGGGTTTCCTCAGTGCCTCTCTTAATACAGTGGTGCCTTTACAGCATTCACACTAATGATGCAAAAATTACTTTGGTCTTGCTGGGAGTGAAACCTTGGCGATTGTCCAGTCATTTCACACACCTTATCTAGTTGGTGTGAACTCGCTATATCTGAAACCTCCTCCTCCCAAAAGGAAACCAGCTGGAAAGTGTAGAAGAGAAATGAGGACTTAGCAGTTTTATTTCATATTCATGTAGATTGTTCCCCTAGGAGAAGAGTGTAATTCACTCATTATCAGCTAGTATAGTGACACTGGAGAGGTCCCTCACAGCATGCAGCATTTTAAAATTAGGAGACAGAACATTAAACCTGTATTCAATGGGTGGCTCCATGAATGAGGATTCTATTTAACAAAAACCAATTTCCATATTCCTTTGGTAAACAACTACTTGTAATAAGTCATCTGCTTCTTTTGGTGCACACTCAAAGTTCTGTCTAGTCCCATAGTTACAAGGTCAAGTAGGGAATCATAGCACCCTGCTTTAGCCCAGATTCTGGGTTAAAGACAGTGATCGGGACGTCTTAAATGTATTTAGGTTCTTGAATGTAGAAGAGTTTAGAGAGTAAGTATGTTTTATCATTTTCTCCTTTTGCTTTTTGTTTTTTGTTTTTTGTTTTTAAACATACAATCTGACTTTGTCCTTTCTACCAGGTGGCTAGTTCAGATGCATTCTTCTTTTAAGAGTCTCTCCTTTCTCTTTACCTCAGGAAGAATTACACTCCTGCTTCCTCACCCAAGACCTGTTAACTAGTGATGGAAATTCTCAAGTCATTCATTAAAGAGGAAAAGAATTACTTTTGCAGTCAGGTTAACAGGTGTATGTTTCATATAGGTAGCAATGTATTGAGAATATAAAGCATATTTACAATTGCAGTCGTGTTTTAAACAGCTCCAGATTCAGGGATATGAAGCATTTCCCTCTGGAAGTCTCCAGAGTCTTCTTACCTGATCCCATAGAAATTGAGGGCTCATTCTTTCCTTTCAGGAAGGGTTATTTTTCCATATATTTTAATAGACATTTACCTAATAGAGGTGATATTTATGTGTTCCAAAAATAATCCCAGGGCATAACTGTCTTTCTTTTTCTAATTTACCACCCCAAACCAAGAATTACTTGAAAAAAGAAGCATAAGAATCTTAATATAGCAAATATACTTTGCTTTTTTAAGGCCAAAGGAAAGAGCTGGGTGGGGGGTGGGTAGAAATGATAGCACACTGAGATAATGACTCTTTGTGCTAGAAATCCCCTGATTGGCAGCCTTTATATTTATGCTGCCTTTTATATGGAGAGTAAATTTTAGCTTTTTGATGATCAAATGAAATACTTGACCAGTGATTCAATCATGAATAGTTGATGTTGCTAGTGGGAATTAATACTTCTTAAAGTAATTTTAATTCAGTGGATCAAATTTGTTTTACCATACTTTTCTGCTTTTAAATTTTTTTTTTCAACGTTTATTTATTTTTGGGACAGAGAGAGACAGAGCACGAACGGGAGAGGGGCAGAGAGAGAGGGAGACACAGAATCGGAAACAGGCTCCAGGCTCTGAACCATCAGCTCAAAGCCCGACGCGGGGCTTGAACTCACGGACCGTGAGATCGTGACCTGGCTGAAGTCGGACGCTCAACCGACTGCGCCACCCAGGCGCCCCTACTTTTCTGCTTTTAAAATGTACTCCGTATGCAACAATTATTTTCTCACGCTAAGAAATCAGTAGGCCTCTCATATTTGTGTTCTTGAAACATCAGTTTAAAATTATTATCTATGACTTTCTCTTTTTACTTCATTTTACTGGAAAGTCAAAGGTCTCAACATATTTGGAAGAATCCAGGTGCCTCAAGGGCACATAGAGACATTCTGATCATTGTTTTTCTTATATACAATGCCTTGCCCGTAGGTATAAAATTCTGGTTCTAGCAAGGGTCAAGTAACATTACGGATAGGGACTTTTCAGATAGAAGCACTTGACTTCCTCTTGCCCTTGGCATTGTTAATAGTTACTCTAACAGTTTTCCTTGGTGCTGACAGCCCAGTATTCCATATTTTCATGTCATAACTATGAGACAGGGCAGTAACATAATGTATATAGCCTTTAGCTTTCAAGGCTTCAAGTGTATGGCAAATAAGAGAATCCAACACTCAGAGAGGCTAGACGTTGTGTTTCACGCTGAGAAGTTCGAGTCCTTGTTGGTTCCCGTCTAGACGCTGTATGCTGGACAAGTCCTAACGTGAGTGACATTTCCACTGGAGCATTTCCTTTTTCCCATCAGTGGCAATGGAGGAGGCAGTGTTGCAGTGCCTGGAAGCTTTCCTGAGCTGCGTCATCCACTTAGACTTTTCTAAAGGTCTCTGTGCCCTACCCAGGCAATGCTCCTCCTCCTTAGACTGATCGTGAGGAACCATCTCAATCTCTGTGCTTGCGTCTCCCCCACGTAGATGAGTGCTCGGTGTCTAAGACACGGCTTACCATGAAGTGCTAAACGTTCTTTGTAAAATTAGTGATTAGTTATTATAAATCGTGGAAGATGGGTGAATCTTTCCTCTTGACAGACTGTGTGTGTGACGGTGGAAGCTCTGAACTATAAGCTGGATAAGGTACTGTGTACTGTAGTCTTATCTTTATGACAAGTATTTTAGATCATTGAATTTGCCGCTTGGCTGAACAACGTTGAAAGACAACACTCAATCATGATTTGGGTCTATGTGCCTGTTTCCATCATATGGGAGACAGTGTTATAGTCAGTAATACTATTCTAAAAGTGGACATTTTATTTCTTAGCAAAATTGATTATTTAGGACTAATTCAGAATTATATTTTTTAATATACTTGGGAAATCAGGCTTCTTAAACTGCTCAAGAGACCATTAAAGGTATAAATTCTGCCCATATGACACCTGTCCTAGAAGTTGTTCCTAAGAACTGAATTGATGTGGAAATGAGAATGCCACTTATAGT